GGAGACAAGAATGGAGGTGACCACTGCCTGTAGCAGCTCAGTGGCTGCTGGGGGCCTGGGCAGGACAGATTGGGTCAGGTCAGGTGGGGTGGGTCAGGGTGGGGAGAGGTGAGGTGGGTGGGGTGGGTGGGGTAGGGTGGGGTGGGGTAGGCAAGGAGAGGCTCTCAGAGTGCACAGAGGCTGGGGCTGCGGCCCAGGGACCGAGGCGTCTCAGGGTCCGTGGAAACTCCCAGCCCTTCTGAGCCCGCTGGCCTGAGGGCCCGCCCTGATTCCAGGGAAAGGGGTCCCCAGGAGGCCGCCCCCCGAGAGGCCTGAGGCTGGGCAATATCTGCACACGCCAAGTGCACGGTCCACCCTGGGCCTGGCCCGAGAATGTCTGGATTCCAGCGGGGGCAGGGCAGGTCCCACACCCCGAGTCAGGAACACGGGTTCTGGGGAGTGAGGGCCGATGGGGGGTGTCCCTGGGTGACGTCTGAGAGAGCTGTGAAGCCCAGGTCTGCTCCCCCGTCCCCTGTGCAGCCCAGGGCCTCGGCCTGCCCGACAGTGAAAGGGGCGTCCAGCCTGGGCCCTGCGTGGGTGCCAACACGGCTGAATGCCATCCGGCCAACTCCTCCCAGTGCCACGTGCCATTGCTCGGGGTGTGGGGATGGCGCACCCCCTGAACGCACCCTGAGTACCTGGATGAAGGGTCCCTAACACACAGGCCTGGCACCTGCCCAGCTGGCTGGGCCGCTCAGTCAGCCATGCCCGCCTCAAGGGCCACACCTGCCCACGAGCGGGACGGGGCCAGGCCGGGCGGGCTGGGAGGGAGGCGCCCTGGGTCCCGGCCAGGCGGGAGGAACTGCTGACCGCTTCCTGCCGCTGGCGCCCCGGCCCGGCCAGGCCCCCGGCATCTGGACAGCCTGTGGCTCCGACAGCCTGTTTGCAAAGAGCAGCGTCGCTGTCACAGGCCCAGCCCTCTCCTCGTCGACGGGAGGGTGTCCGCCATTGAGGCCGGGGAACAGCACGGGAGCCTGGCTGGGTGCGGCTGTCGGGCCCTCCCTGCGGGCCTGGGCGGCGGGGCCGGCCAGCAGCTCGTCTCCCCGGTGCCTCCTGCTCAGGCGGCTGCGGGGGACCCGACGGGCAGGCTCCCAGGCCGGGCCCTGGCCCTCAGGGCTGGGCAGGAATGGGCCCGGGAAGGCAGTGTCTGTCCCGTGTCTCTGGGACACAGCCTGTGGCCGGCCACAGCTGCTTCCACCCGGGGCGGCCAGAGGCCAGGACGGTCTGGGTGCTGCGGGCTGTGAGGCTCAGCGAACCGCGGGCTGGAGCGAGCTGGGTGCTAGGGGCCCGGAGCGGGCTGGGTGCTAGGGGCCCGGAGCGAGCTGGGTGCTAGAGGCCCGGAGCGAAATGGGTGCTAGGGGCCCGGAGCGAAATGGGTGCTAGGGGCCCGGAGCGGGCTGGGTGCTAGGGGCCCGGAGCGGGCTGGGTGCTAGGGACCCGGAGCGAAATGGGTGCTAGGGGTCCGGAGCGGGCTGGGGGCGAAGGCCACTGGGTGCTGTGCTGCTGGCCGCCCTCCCCCCACCCCCACGCCCGCCCTGGCAGCAGCAGGGCAGTGAGCGCCACGGCACTGAGGGCGCCCAGGCCCAGCCCCACTCCGGGCAGGGGGCATGGAGACCGGGAGGGACAGGCTAACCGGCTTGGCCTCCAGTGGGGACTCCTGTTTGGGGAGCCCTCTGACCTAGGAGGCTCGTTCTTCCCTGGAAGTCTGTTGGGGTGCTGTGCAGAGTTGGGGTGCATCCCATGGAGTTGGGGTGCTGTGCAGAGTTGGGGTGCTGTGCAGCATTGGGGTGCTGTGCAGAGTTGGGGTGCTGTGCAGGGTTGGGGTGCTGTGCAGGGTTGGGGTGCTGTGCAGCGTTGGGGTGCTGTGCAGAGTTGGGGTGCTGTGCAGGGTTGGGGTGCTGTGCAGCGTTGGGGTGCTGTGCAGAGTTGGGGTGCTGTGCAGGGTTGGGGTGCTGTGCAGGGTTGGGGTGCTGTGCAGCGTTGGGGTGCTGTGCAGAGTTGGGGTGCTGTGCAGCGTTGGGGTGCTGTGCAGAGTTGGGGTGCTGTGCAGAGTTGGGGTGCTGTGCAGCGTTGGGGTGCTGTGCAGAGTTGGGGTGCTGTGCAGGGTTGGGGTGCTGTGCAGAGTTGGGGTGCTGTGCAGCGTTGGGGTGCTGTGCAGAGTTGGGGTGCTGTGCAGCGTTGGGGTGCTGTGCAGAGTTGGGGTGCTGTGCAGAGTTGGGGTGCTGTGCAGCGTTGGGGTGCTGTGCAGAGTTGGGGTGCGCTGTGCAGCGTTGGGGTGCTGTGCAGCGTTGGGGTGCGCTGTGCAGCGTTGGGGTGCTGTGCAGAGTTGGGGTGCTGTGCAGCGTTGGGGTGCGCTGTGCAGCGTTGGGGTGCTGTGCAGAGTTGGGGTGCGCTTGCAGAGCGGAGGGGCACTGAGCACAGCTCGGGAGGCTCTGGGAAAACCCCTTTGGCCTTGGCCCGGGCACGGCTGCGGACAAACAGGATGCGGGCCGGCGGCCGGCGCAGCGGGACAAAGGCCAGGAGAGGAAACCCCGTGACCTCCGTGGACGGAGCGGCCGGCGCTCTCCACCGTTTCCCGCCAAACAGGGCGAGGGCCAAGCTCCATGGCTGCTCCGCCTGGGGCTCCGAGCACCGCAAAGCTCGTCCCTCACAGACCGGCCTCCAGGGGTGGGCTCGGCCCTTCTCCCCGCAGCCCCCAGCCTCGCCGGGAATCCTCCTCCGGTGTCCTCCTCCGGTGCCCTCCTCCGGGTGCCCTCCTCCGGGAGTCCTCCTCCTCCGGGAGTCCTCCTCCTGGTGTCCTCCTCCGGGAGTCCTCCTCCGGGAGTCCTCCTCCGGGTGCCCTCCTCCGGGAGTCCTCCTCCGGGAGTCCTCCTCTGGGTGTCCTCCTCCGGTGTCCTCCTCTGGGCGTCCTCCTCCGGGTGCCCTCCTCCGGGTGCCCTCCTCCGGGTGTCCTCCTCGGGAGTCCTCCTCTGGGTGCCCTCCTCCGGGTGCCCTCCTCCGGGTGTCCTCCTCCGGTGTCCTCCTCTGGGTGTCCTCCTCCGGGAGTCCTCCTCCGGGTGTCCTCCTCCGGGAGTCCTCCTCCGGGTGTCCTCCTCCAGAGCCTGCAAAGCTCCACCGCCAGCCTGGGGCAGCCGGGACCCTGGTGTTTTCACCGGGACAGACTGCGGTGCCTCTGCGTGGCCTGCTGGGTAATTCCCCCGGCAAGTGAGCCCTATGGACCGCCCCGCCCGGGGCCGCCGTGAGCAGACAGACGCCCAGGCCGTGCCACCCGCAGTGCCCCGTGCACAGCGGACAGTGCCCGCGGCGGTCCAGCTGCTGCCCGTGCGGCGGTCGGTGCTGCCGGTGAGGGCGCCGGGCCTGACCCGCGGCCCAGGCAGGAAGGGGAGCTGCAAGGCCCGGAGCAGGGGGAGGGCGGGCGCTGGCAGGGCTGGCGCTGGCCGGTCTGTGGGCATGCACCCACACGGCCTGGTGCCCCTGCCGAGGGGCGTGGCCATCTGCCTCGGCGGGGACAGCAGTGTCGCCGGGGGGAATGGCCTGGGAGGAGCTCCGGGTTCGAGAGGCACAGGCAGGGCCTGTGAATGGGCAGCGGGCCTGTTGCAGGGCTTTGCAGGGGCTGCGGGGAGCCGGGCAGGGGCTGGGGCGCGGGAGCAGATGGGGGAGGCGGGCATGGAGTTGGGGTGGCGAGGCCGGGGCCTGGAGGGGCTCCGGATGGCACCGGCACCTGTGCAGGCCTCCCTGCGGCCGGCAGCGGGAGGACTACGGGGCGGCTGTGCGTGATGCGTGATGCGTGATGCCTGGAGCTGACGAGAGGGGGACAGGTGGCGGGGAGGGGACGGGAGCATGGGGGCTGGGGGGAGGAGGGGACGGGAGCATGGGGGCTGGGGGGAGGAGGGGACGGGAGCATGGGGGCTGGGGGGAGGAGGGGACGGGAGCATGGGGGCTGGGGGGAGGAGGGGACGGGAGCATGGGCGGGGGGGGACAGGAGCATGGGCGGGGGGGGGAGGTGATGGGAGCATGGGCGGGGGGGAGAGGGGAGGAAGGGGGGAGGGAACGGGAACATGGGCGGGGGGGGGGCAAGGGGGACGGGAGCATGGGCGGGGGGGGGATGAGGAGGGGACGGGAGCATGGGCGGGGGGTGGGGGGCGGCTCAACCTCACGCCAGGAGAGCTTTGCTAGAGCCACGGTCCTCAGCCCGAGCGACCTCGCCCTGGAGGCGAACATCCGAGGCGCTTGGCTGTCAGAGTTGGGGGTGCAGGGCAGAGGCTGGGGGGCTGCTAACACTGCCCACGGCAGCGCCTCCGGGACCAGGAGCCCGCCCCTGCGCCAGCACTGCTGCCGTTAGAACCGGCCTCGGGCTTCCGTGGACCCAGACACCGTCCGGCTCCCCTTCCAGCTGCCCCTGGCCTCCGGCATGCCCCACGGCCTCCTGAGCCCCAGCGTTCCTGTCTGTAAAACAGGCCCGTTACCACTGAACTTGGCAATCCTCCCTGGTGCTGCCAGGCCAAGCGTGAAGGATTCCCAGGGCTGGGCTGGGACCAGACCCGCCCCCGGCAAGGCTGGGAGGGCAGACAGGAGGGCGGGGCTGTGGGGACCCCAGCTCGGTGCCCACTTCCTGTTGGAGCCAACAGGAGACCCAGCCCCGGCTCCCAGCACTCAGGGCCACGTTCCCTGTTCTCAAGCGGGTGGGGCCAGTCCCAGCCAGAAAGGAGGGAGGGAGAGCGGTGGCTGACCCCTGGGTCCCAGCAGAGACCTGTGTCCTTGCACGTGTGGGCGGGGGGCCTGGGTCTGTGCACATGTCAGCGGGGGGCCTGCGTGAGCATGTGCACGTGTGTCTTGTGTGTGTGTGCGTGTGTGCGCACAGAAAGTGGAAGAGGAACAGAGCAGGCCGAGGCTGGCAGGGAGGCTGGCAGCTGGCGGACTTCCCCAATGCCGGGGGCGAGGCGGAGCGGGCACCTGGGGGCCGGGCGGGAGGCGGGAGGCTGGAGCCGGCCCAGGAAGAAGCTAATGATCAACTGGCCGCTCGGCAGGCAGCCTCTCCCAGGCCGCGCCGGGGAGGAAGTGGGGCAGGAAGCAGGGGGCGGTGGCCGGGAGGGCGGAGGGCGGCCGGCCGCCGCGGGGAGACAGCCTGGGCCGCGGGGAGGAGCGCCGGGGCTGCGTCTGGCGCTGCCCGAGGAGCCGGCGCAGGTACGGGGTGCGGGGCGCCGGGCGGCGGAGGTGACGGGCGTGGACGGGCCGGGTGGGCGGCGCCACCGGTGGAGCTAAGAATAGCCTGTCCTCGCTTTCTGGAAGGCCGGGCTGAGGCCCAGGGGTGGGGAGCAGGCGGGAGTCTGGGGGCCCGGGGGCATCAGGAGTGCTGTGGGGTGACCAGCCATTACCAGCCCTGACAATGGCTGTTGGTAAAGCCCGGGCTCTGTGGCTCTGCTGACCTCGCCCCTCGAGGGCTCAGCGCGTCCGGAGCCGGCGGTGAGGGAGGCCGGGGCCACAGGTCTCGAGTGGGACCTCCCGCCGTGTTGGCCACAGAAGTGCCCGGCCCGGGGCGGCACTGTCACTGTGACCGGCCACTCTGAGGTCACCACCCCGGGCCCCTTCCCGGGGGCACCACCCGGAGCTGGAGGGAAGGGCACTGGCCAGGCCTCCAGCACCCGTCCTGCCCCGGCACTGGTCCATGGACACCCCTGAGACCCTTGGCGAGGCTCATAGAAGTGACGGCTGGTAGAGTGAGGTCGGGAGGCAGGCGGGGGTGGGGGTGGGGAGGGGAGGTGGGTGAGTTCAAGTTCAGACAGGTGCTGGAGGGCTGGACTCAGACCTACCTGGTTCACATCTCACCTTTCAAGCCTGGCCAAGCCTCAGGCTGACGGTCTGTGAAATGGGCGCAGGACAGCCCGCCAGGCCCTGAGGGTCAGACGGTGGTGGCTGTGGGTCAGGGTGACTCGTCCGTGTCGGGGTGGTGCCGTGTCTGGTGTGACAAGTCCTTTGACTCTGCTGGCAAGGTGAGGGTGACCCGGCTTCCCCACGGACAAGGTGAGGCGCAGAGTCTCGGGTTTGGGGGGCGGGGCAGCCGTGACCCAGCCCCGCACGTGGGCTCACAATGGAGACTCACTGTCACTGGCGGGAGGCCAGGCCTGAACCAGTGTCAGCAGCTCCAGGAGGCGCCTTCCTGCCCGCTCCGCCGCTGGGCCCCAGGTGGCCCCCCTGCAGCCGTCCCCGTGGTCACGTGGCCTCTGTGTGCGTGTCCCTCCAGGCCCAGCCTGCCCCGGTGTGGCCGAGCCTTCACGTCACTGCAGAGACCCTGTTTCCAGACAAGGTCACTGCTGAGGTCCAGGGGGACGCGGGTTTGGGGGACACTGTCCACCCCAGCACCGCCCGGAGAGGTGCTCCTGGCGGAGGGGCGAGGCTGCAGGGCCCAGCTCGAGCCCAGCATGAGCTCCGGCCAGACCCCTCCTGCACCCCGGTTTACTCTGCGCCACCTGTAACCGGAGCCCCACTCTGACCCACAGCCCCCTGCGAGGCCATGTCTTCCTGCTCCGCTCGGGTGAGGGCCCTGAGGCTGGGCGTCCAGTGTGAACCCATCCTGGGTCAGGCTGGGCCCGGCTGCAGGCGCTCCCTGGGCTGTCCCCACCACAGCCGAGCTCAGAGGATCGAGACCGGAGGAGGGAGACCCTCCAGGGGTGGCCCCAGGTGACTGCCAGCTGCCCCAGGGGTCCCGCAGCCACTCTGCAGCTGAGCTGGCGCCCCAGGCTGAGCCCTGGGCAAGCGAGGCCATTTCGGGAAGGAGGGGGTGGGGGGGGGGAAGGGGGGGAAGCACTTTCGTGGAGATGGCTCCCACTTCCTCAGACTCACTGGGAACTCCGCTCACGGCTGTCACTGCAGCCCCACCCACAGGCCAGGCCCCTCCCAAGCAGCGGGAGGGTTCCTCTGCAGAGCCTTCCCTGTCCCTGTCCCTGTCCCAGCCCCGTTTCCAGTTCCCATTCCAGTCCCTGTCCCCAGACCCGTTCCTGTCGCCAGCGCCATCCCTGCCCCCAGCCCCACCCTGTCCCCAGCCCCACCCCTGTCCCCAGTTCCCATCCCAGTCCCGTCCCCAGCCCTAACCCTGTCCCAGCCCCGCCCCCGAGCGCAGGGCAGGCCTGTGTGGACAGCAGACGGCCCGGGAAGGCCAGCAGGGACAGGCACAGGCCCAGACCTGGCCCGTTGTGCTGGTGCCGGGCTGCAGGCCCTGCTCCGCCTCCGGGGGCATCGGACGTGGCCCCTGAAGGTGGCAGAGGGGAGGACAGAGACCTGGTGGGGAGGCGGGAGGACTAGCCCCCCCATACACACACACACACACACACAGGCCCCGCTCTGTGAGACCCTCAGGAGCAGATGGACCCCGCTGGCAGCCCCAGCTCCCTGTCCCAGTGGTGTGGGCGGAGGGCCTGGGCTGGTCCAGGGTCCGGGCCCAGGCTGTCCCTGTGGCCCGGGCCTCCCTGCCCGCCAGAGAGGATGTGGTACCTGTGCCCTCGGTGGGTGACTGAGCCCCAAGCCCAGGGCGTGGTGTCTGGCCAAGTGGGCTCTCATCTCTGACTGGGGTTGGCGGGGCAGGGTGGCCCTGAGCTGTGTCCTCGGGGACTGGGGGCCCCTGCCCGCAGGACGTCCAGCAGAGGCCAGGGGGCATTTGCCAGGCCACCAGGCACATCCGGCCCTGGGCTCCCACCACCCGGCCCTGGGGACTTGTGCTGGTCGGAGGGGAAGTGACCGCCAGCCGACCCAAGAAGGCTGAGCAGGCCCCCGGGCATGGAGGGGGGCTCTCTCCTCCGCACCCCAGCACTGGCGGCAGCATCTGGAGAGGTCTTCGCTGACCACCCCTCTCCTCTCCCCACAGCGGCCAGCCCGGCAGGCCCAGCCCTGGGCGCTGAGGCCACGGCAGGCATGAAGGACCCAGTGGAGGCGGCCACAGAGGAGCCTGATCCGACGGGGACGGTGGCCGGGCCCTCGGGCGGCGGCGGTGGCGACCAGGTCCAGAGAAAGGCTGGGAGAGCATCGGTCAGCTGGGCGGGACCAGGACCCGCGGAGGCCCAGGCTGCGGGCAGAGACGGTGAGTGCGGTGCACGAGGGAGAGAGAGAAATGTCAGTGATGAGAGAGAATCATAGTGGCTGCCTCCTGCGCGCCCCACACTGGGGATCCAGCCCGTAACCCAGACAGGTGCCCTGACCAGATCAACCATGACCTCCTGGTTCTTAGGCTGATGCTCACCCGCTGAGCCCCGCGCCGATCTCGGGGTGTCTGATGAGTCACAAACAGGCCAATGTGTTGTTCAGGGCGCGTCAGTGACCCCCACACCGATGGCGGGGGCTGGGGGGGGCCCTCGGGAACTCAGGAGCAGCTGCCCTGCAGGTGCTATCGGACTGTCCCAAACTGCGCACCCCCAGACCTGCTTTGTCCGCAGGGCATGCACCCAGGGGTGCTCAGGCCAGGCCGCCCCGGCCCCAGGAGACAAGCCGAGGCCAGCGAGGGAGGGGCCTGCGGCCTCTGTCCATGTGGGCTCCTGGAGCCCAGTCCCTCTGGCGAGTGTATTTCCTAAACCCAGACGTGCCCCAAGAGCCCCGGGCAGCGGGGTCCGGTGGTGAGCCTCAGGCCTCGCTCAGACCCTGCCGACGGCCAGCCGCGCCCTGGGCAGCCGGGAGAGCCTAGCGTGCCGGGCCTGAGCCGCGTGGCTGGTGGATGTTCTAAGACCTCGCCGGTCACTCCGGAGCCTGCCCCCGCGATGCCGGTCCCGGGCCGATGCCCGCGAAGCGCCGTGTCCCGTCGCAGCGTGGCCGGAGGCCGTGGGCCCGCCTGGCTCCCCGCGGGGACAGCGGTTTTGGTGCCTTGGCTCAGGGGTGGCGCAGACTTCCCCTGCGCCCGGCATCGGGTTCCTCTGCCTGGCTGCGTCCGGGAAGGTACCTGAGTCGAAGCCAATGCCCGCTCCTGGGGCCCTCGCACGGCATTCCGTCCCCGCCTGGTTCTCGGCGGGATGAGGATTATTGTGACCCCCTCCGTGGTGGCCATCTCACGCGTGTTCCTCCACGTTCACCGTGGACTTCCTGTGCGAAGGACACCGGTCCCCTCTTCCCGCGGTTCATCATTCACCTTCCTGAGGGCTCATCGGTCCACACTGTGCTCTCGCCTGTGCCGGCTGCCATCTTCATTTCTCATCCAAACTGCTTCGCTCTTCTGACGTCTCCATCACCCTGTGATCACGGGGTCTCTCAGTCTCCACCATCCTGTGAGCAGGGGCCTCTCAGTCTCCACCATCCTGTGAGCACGGGGTCTGTTCACGTCTCCACCATCCTGTGAGCACGGGGTCTGTTCACGTCTCCATCATCCTGTGAGCACGGGGTCTGCTCACGTCTCCACCATCCTGTGAGCAGGGGCCTCTCAGTCTCCACCATCCTGTGAGCACGGGGTCTCTCAGTCTCCACCATCCTGTGAGCACGGGGTCTGCTCACGTCTCCACCATCCTGTGAGCACGGGGTCTGTTCACGTCTCCACCATCCTGTGAGCATGGAGTCTCTCAGTCTCCACCATCCTGTGAGCACGGGGTCTGTTCACGTCTCCATCATCCTGTGAGCACGGGGTCTGTTCACGTCTCCATCATCCTGTGAGCACGGGGTCTGTTCACGTCTCCATCATCCTGTGAACATGGGGTCTCTCAGTCTCCACCATCCTGTGAGCACGGGGTCTCTCAGTCTCCACCATCCTGTGAGCAGGGGTCTCTCAGTCTCCACCATCCTGTGAGCAGGGGTCTCTCAGTCTCCACCATCCTGTGAGCACGGGGTCTCTCAGTCTCCACCATCCTGTGAGCAGGGGTCTCTCAGTCTCCACCATCCTGTGAGCAGGGGTCTCTCAGTCTCCACCATCCTGTGAGCACGGGGTCTGTTCACGTCTCCATCATCCTGTGAGCACGGGGTCTGTTCACGTCTCCATCATCCTGTGAGCACGGGGTCTGTTCACGTCTCCATCATCCTGTGAACATGGGGTCTCTCAGTCTCCACCATCCTGTGAGCACGGGGTCTCTCAGTCTCCACCATCCTGTGAGCAGGGGTCTCTCAGTCTCCATCATCCTGTGAGCAGGGGTCTCTCAGTCTCCACCATCCTGTGAGCACGGGGTCTGCTCACGTCTCCACCATCCTGTGAGCAGGGGTCTCTCAGTTTCCATCATCTGTGAGCACGGGGTCTCTCACGTCTCCACCATCCTGTGAGCACGGGGTCTCTCAGTCTCCACCATCCTGTGAGCAGGGGTCTCTCAGTCTCCACCATCCTGTGAGCACGGGGTCTGCTCACGTCTCCATCATCCTGTGAGCACATTCTGCTGGGGGGACCACAGACGGCCCTGGAACAGGTTGTGTCTCAAGGGCCTGGGCTTCCAAACTGGAGGATGGTGCTTCGCCAGGACCTGGACACTGTGTGCTCTTTGGATTTGGCAGGTTTTCTGAGTCTGTGCTGCCTGCCCGGTGCTGAGGCAGGCCCTGGACCGCAGAGCAAGCAAGGCCTGGCTGTGAGCTCTGGCTACCAGGCAACAGCACAGCGTGGGCTGGCACACCGCAGGGGCTCCAAGATGCTGAGAGGAAGAGCGCAGAAACAAGCACCATCGTGTTGTCCAGTCCACAGCTGGGCGGGCAGTGCTGTGCCCAGGGCTCTGACGGGAGCATCCTGCAGGCGCTGAGGACCGGCAGCCTGAAGGTCACACCAACTGCAAAAATCACAGGCTCTTCCCAATCACACCGGCCTTGACCCTAAGGCCCTGATTGCTCAGCCCATTTTACAGATGAGCAAACTGAGCCGGGCAGAGGCCCAGGACTCCAGCCAAAGTGCACACTGGAGCTGGTCTCCCGATGAGATGACAGGGGAGGACTGAGCCGCCCTCTGCTCTGGTCCCAGCGTGGGTCCCCCTCTGACCCTGAATCTCGGGGTACCTCACTAGTCCTCGCCAGGCTGTGAGCCCCACCCCACAGCCTCACAGGCATGTGCAGCCGGACCAGGACACAGCTCTGTCTGCTCCAGACCCCGAGCTCCTCCGGTTGTCGCCTTCCCTGCATGGCCAGCAGAATAATGCCCCAACGAAGGCTCTCTCTGGGAGCCTCAGAGGAGCTGCCCTGCCCACACCTGGGTTTCAGCCAGCCCCTCAGCCAGCCCCTCAGCCAGTGCACCCTCAGCCAGCCCCTCAGCCAGCGCACCCAAAGCCAGTGCACCCAAAGCCAGTGCACCCTCAGCCACTGCACCCTCAGCCCATGTACCTTCGCCAGTGCACCCTCAGCCAGTGCACCCTTAGCCAGTGCACCCTCAGCCAGCCCCTCAGCCAGCGCACCCTCAGCCAGCCCCTCAGCCAGTGCACCCTCAGCCAGTGAACCCTCAACCAGTGCACCCTCAGCCACTGCACCCTCAGCCAGCCCCTCAGCCAGTACACCATCAGCCAGCCCCTTAGCCAGCACACCCTCAGCAAGTGCACCCTCAGCCTGTGCACCCTCAGCCAGCCCCTCAGCCAGCCCCTCAGCCAGTGCACCCTCAGCCAGTGCACCCTCAGCCTGCCCCTCAGCCAGCCCCTCAGCCAGCCCCTCAGCCAGCCCCTCAGCCAGTATACCATCAGCCAGCCCCTTAGCCAGCACACCCTCAGCAAGTGCACCCTCAGCAAGTGCACCCTCAGCCAGCCCCTCAGCCAGCCCCTCAGCCAGTGCACCCTCAGCCAGCCCCTCAGCCAGCCCCTCAGCCAGCCCCTCAGCCAGTATACCATCAGCCAGCCCCTTAGCCAGCACACCCTCAGCAAGTGCACCCTCAGCAAGTGCACCCTCAGCCAGTGCACCCTCAGCCAGCCCCTCAGCCAGTGCACCCTCAGCCAGCCCCTCAGCCAGTGCACCCTCAGCCAGCGCACCCTCAGCCAGCACACCCTCAGCCAGTGCACCCTCAGCCAGCGCACCCTCAGCCAGCACACCCTCAGCCAGTGCACCCTCAGCCAGTGCACTCTCAGCCAGCCCCTCAGTGCGCCTCTGTGACACCCTAGGGCAGCAGGATAGTGTCCGTTGTTTCCTGAGGCCGTGGCGCTGGGCTGGCTTCTTTTTTATGATTATTAAATGCATATTGTTATTGATGTCAGAGAGGAAGGGGAAGGGGAGATAGAGCAGCAATGATGAGAGAGATCACTGACCGGCTGCCCCTGCCCGCCCCACACTGGGGATGCAGCCCACAACCAGGGCCTGTGCCCTGACCGGGAATCCAACCTGACCTCCTGGTTCATAGGTCCACGCTCAACCAGGGAGCCACGCCGGCCCGTCTGGTTTCTTACAGCACAGGGAGATCCCGGCTCCGTCCTCAGGGCTGTGTGACCTGCCTGCGGGAAGGTGGGGTGGGGCCTGTGCAGGGAGCGGCCTGCTCTCACCTGAACCACAGACCCGCTGTGTTACAGATGCTGCTCCGGCCCCGGGCGCCTCCCAGCGGCACTCAGGGACCGCTCCGGGCCCGAGGGGAGCGTACCCCACAGGTAGGCATCCCCGGGCAGGCGCTGCCACATGGCGGGCGGGTTCGTCCAGGCGGCGATGGGAACGGGGGGCGGCAGGAGCTCGCTAAAGGCAGACACCCAGGTCCCGAGCCCGGGTCCTGAGACCGTCCATCTGGGGTGGCCCGGGACCCCGCCGCCCACAGGGGCCAGGTGTGGGTTCAGCTGCATTTGCAAAGGGCTTCCCCGGCTCTGCTCCCGCTCAGAGGGACGTGGCCCTGAGGAGCCTGCAGGGATGGGACACGGAGGGTGCCGGGCGGGCATGGTCAGACCGGACGGAAGAGGCCCCTGCGCTGGGGGCTGCGGAGGGGCCGCGGGGAGCTGTCCCAGAGCCGGTTTCTGGGGAGGGGGCCGGGAACGGGGGCGTGCATTGGGCAGCCCTGGGCTGGGGCAGCACCGGTAGGGTGGGGTGTGGTGAGAATCTGCCCCTTGCCCCGGAGACCCCACCCTGACCCCAGCTGTGCGGACGGAGACCCCAGTGCTGCTGGCACCTCCCCGTGCCCGTCCCCCTTCCCTCGGCGGTCAGAGCGCCCTGGGGACCGGGGATCAGGGCCAGCTGGGCAGCAGGGCAGGCACTTGGGGTTTGAGAAGGCAGCCCGCCCTCTGTCGGGGAAGAAGGGGCAGCTGTGAGGTGCTGCCGCTGCCCGCTCGGGGCTGGCCAGACCCCAGAGCTGCCCAGTTTCTGCCCTGGCCCTGCCCACGGGAGAGGTGTATGCTCCAGGGCCCTTTGCTGGAAAGTTCTAAGGCAGGTGCAAGGCTGTCAAAGGGCATGGGACTCTCTCCCTCCCCTCCTCCCTTCCCCCCCTCCTCTCTCCCTACCCTCCTGTCTCTCCTCCCATCTCTAACCCCCGGGTTCTGGGGCTCCAGGTTCTAGAGGCCTCCTCGGGGGGTGGGGTGGGGGGTGGGGGCATCTGAGCTGAGATCTGCATCTGAGGGAGCAGGCTGGCACCACAGGGGGGGTCAGGGGCTCCCGTGGACCCCAGGCCGTGATGGAGGTAGGTGGGTGTGGCCTGGGCAGGGCTGGGGTGGGAGAAGGGGCAGAAGCTGAGTTGGGGTGGGGCTGGGGTCAGTGGGGTGTCTGCTGGGACCGGAGGTCCTGTTGGGCTGACGGTGGGAGGTCGGGCTGGAGGTCTCGGTGACAGGACCACCTGCCGACAGCTCCCCGGGGCCTGTGCCGGGGCGGGAGGGGGCAGCGTGCAGCTCACCCTCCACGAGAGAAACCGGGGCTGGGGACCAGGAGGACCGGGGCGGGGGCACGGGAGGGGGGAACATCGGTACAGGGCGTCCTCCGGCGATGCCTGAGGTGGCTGAAGCCCGGGCCCCGCCCATGGCTGGGCTCTTGGGGCGGACTGCCTGACCTTGACCATCCCCGCAGACCTGACGCTGCAGCTGCAGGCGGTGCGGAGGCGGAGCGGGCAGCCGGACCCCGGGCTGCAGCAGGCCCTGCGGGCCCGGCTCCGCCTGCTGGAGAATGACAGCCGCGAGGTGGCCCGCACGCTCGGGGTGAGTGGCCCAGGGCTGGGACCGGCCTGGCGAGGGGGCCAGGAGGCCGGTGCGGAGGAGATGGCGGAACGGGGCAGAGGGAGAGGCTCAGCAGGCTGAGTGGCCGTGAGTCCAGGCCTCCAAGGGGCCAAGGCCCTGGGCGGGAGGCCGCCCTCCACCTCCCTCCTGGCGGCCTGCGACGCACCCCCACCCGCCCTCCTGGATGTGTGTCCCCGGGACCAGCCGTCCCTCCTGCGGGCGCAGCCGCGCGGGGGCCACCGAGTTCCCGATGCCCCGTCCCTCCCTCCAGCCCCTCCCGCTGGGCTGTGACGGCCCCTTCTGGGGAATGAGGGCCTGGGGCTGATCTTCCTCTCTGGTCTGCGGGATTGGGTGTTGGACAGAGGCTGGAGGAGGAGGGGCCGGGTAGGGACAGGGGCCACCCCCTGACCCTGCCGCCAGCCTGGCCCGCGGGAGCCGTGTGCGGGCCACCCAGCGGCCTGGCACTCTGTGTGCTCTCAGCAGCCGGCCGCCCCCGTGACCCGGTTGGCGCGGCAGGCTGAGCCTGGCTCTGGGCTGAACCCCTGCCATGCCATGCACAGGAGGCCAGCGCCCTCCCTCCCCCGCCAACGACACACGTGCCCGGGCTGTGAGGGGTCTGGCGCCCCTCCCCATGGCCAGAGGGCGGGCCTGCCGGGCCTGCGCCTGGCGAACAGGGTGGGAGAGGGAGCCAGCGCGGAGGCCGGGCCGGAAGGGGCCGGCGTGCCCAGGCTCCGGGAGCCGCAGGGCCTGGCGCGGAGGGCGCACTGGCTGTCGAGGGGGCGCCGGCCAGGGTCTCGTCTGTAAAGTTGCTGTCCCTGCCTGGCCGTGGCCGTCAGACTCCGCAGCACCGCGGGCTCATCTCTGACTCCTGCTCCCCCGCAGGAGCTGTCGGCCAGGCTGCTGTCCATCCACAGCGACCAGGCCCGGCTCGTGGTGACCTTCAAGACCTTCGAGGAGATCTGGAAGTTTTCCACGTACCACGCCCTCGGTGAGGCCGCGGGCACGGCTCCCCCCAGGCACTGGCCACGCCCCGCCCGCGGGTGCTGCCAGGCTCTGGGGGGCTGGGGAGGGCTGTCCTGTGCTCAGACGGGCTGCTAGGAGGGCGCGGGGGCTCCAGATGCTCAGGGCTACGCGGCCTCATGGCCGGCCGAGTCCCCGCCTCCTCCCAGCGCGGCCCTCCCAGCTCTCTGACCGCCCGGCCGCCGAGCACGGCCCAGGAACTCATTTCAGCCTCGCCCAGGGCGCTTGCTTTCCGGAATATTCCTCGTCCTAGGGGGAGGCGTTTGCAGGGTCCCTGGGGAACATGCCCTGCACCCCTTCCCCCACCTGGGAGCCAGGAGGTTCGGAAATAAGAATCAGCGACATTTTCCTGCTGCCCCGAGCAGGGTGGTCCCCCCTCACCCTGTGGGCATGCTCTGTCCCATCTCAGACCAGGACACTAGGGGGCCTACAGGAAGTCACTGTCCTCGCGGAATCTTCCCGAGGCCCAGGGAGGTCAGGGCCACGACTGGACCCTGCAGCTCAGACAGGGAGACAGCCCCCCCCACCCCCCGCCATAGCCCCGGTGGGGACGGCCAGGCGGGTGTCTCCCGGAGCCCGGTGGGTGCTTCCGGCCGCCCCGAGCCCGCGGTGACCGGCCGCCTGCCACAGGCTTCACGCACCACTGCCTGGAGGACCTGCTGGTGGGCCCGGCCTTCTGGCTGCGGGCGCCCGAGGAGCAGGAGGAGGCGGCCGTCCGGGTCCGCGTGGACGAGGAGGCGCTGCGGCTGACGCACGAGAGCCTCCTGGTGCAGGACGGTGAGCCGCGGGCCCGGGCCCCACAGCTGGGCTGTGCAGGGGGGCCGCGGGGCTCGGGGGGGACACTGATGGGGGGCGCCGGGCTTTGTCACCGGCCAGCTCCCCACCACGTCAGAGGAAGCACCACCCCGGCTCCCACTCCTGACGTGGGCCCATCGCCCGTGGGGTCACACGTCTGGCCCTTCGCAGCGCAGAAGGGGAAACTGAGGCCCCCAGAGTGTGTGTGGGGGGGAGCCAGGCTCCCAGGGGAAGGACAGCAGGGCCAGGACCCCAGCCCAGGTCCAGCCTCCCCGTGTGGTCCTTGGGGTCTGGTGCCCGGCAGCTGCGGGTGAGAGACGGGGGGCAGGGGGGGCCACACCTGTGTCCTGGGGGCAAAGTGGGTCCCGCTGCAGAGGGATGGTGCCCCCGTGTCTGGCCCCCCTGAGGGACCACCTGTCACTTCACAGGGCCTTTCTTCGTCCTGTGTCCTGACGGCTCCGTGAGAGAGACCTCCGGTCCGCAGGGGGCAGGCGGGGGCCCCCAGCCCCTCAGGCCGGCTTCGGGGGCGCCCCAGGGGGAGGCGGCCCTGGCCCCGGGCTCCCCGGCCTGCAGGCTCCGCGCGTGCTCCGAGGAGGAGGGCGAGGAGGAGGGCGAGGAGGAGGAGGCCGAGTCCACTGCAGAGCCACTGCCGCCGTTCCATCAGTAGGTACCGGCCTCCGTTCCTCTGCTTCCCGGCAGCCCCACGGGGGGCCAGGCCTGGGCTGTCCATGGGGGCGGGGAGGGGGCCAGACCCCCGATCCTCCTGCCGCTCCCAGCCCCCTGCCCAGGAAAGCTGTGTGGGAGCCTAGGGCGAGTGCCGAGGCTGGGAGCGCACGGGGCCCGCACCAATGCCACCAGGTGGGCAGCCTGAGACCACGCTGCCCACGTGCTGCCCATGGGCATGAGCTCGGCTGGGGCTGCCTGGCAGCCAGGGCACAGAGAGAGTCTGTCCCCGCTGCCCACTGTGCCAGCTTCCCTCCTGGGAGGAAGGGCCCGACGGAGCCTGGAGAAGGCGGAGGCACCTGGGCAGGAGGCAGCACCGGCCTGGGCCGGGCCACGCCTGGGCCTGAAGGCCACACGCCGGGGCAGGCGTGTGCGTGCGTGTGCGTGTGTGTGTGTGCCTATGTGTTGTGTGTGTGCGTGTGCATGTGTGTGTGCATGTGTGTGTTGTGTGTGTGCGTGTGTGTTGTGTGTGTATGTGTGATTGTGTGTGTGCCTGTGCGTGGGCGTGTGATTGTGTGTGTGTGTGCCTATGTGTTGTATGTGTGTGTGATTGTGTGTGTGATTGTGTGTGTGTGTGCATGTGTGTGTGAGTGTGTGTGTGAGTGTGTGTTGTGTGTGTGTGCGTGTGTGCTGTGTGTGTATGTGTGATTGTGTGTGTGCCTGTGCGTGGGCGTGTGATTGTGTGTGTGTGTGCCTATGTGTTGTATGTGTGTGTGATTGTGTGTGTGTGTGCATGTGTGTGTGAGTGTGTGTGTGAGTGTGTGTTGTGTGTGTGTGCGTGTGTGCTGTGTGTGTATGTGTGATTGTGTGTGTGCCTGTGCGTGGGCGTGTGATTGTGTGTGTGTGTGCCTATGTGTTGTATGTGTGTGTGATTGTGTGTGTGATTGTGTGTGTGTGTGCATGTGTGTGTGAGTGTGTGTGTGAGTGTGTGTGTGTGTGTGTGTGTGTGCGTGTGTGCTGTGTGTGTATGTGTGATTGTGTGTGTGGGGTGGGCCAGGTGGTGGGACCCGGTGAGTGGCGGGGCTGCTAACTCACCCCCCACAGCAGTGACCCCCCCTCCCGCTGCAGATGGGCTCTCAGAGTCGCCTGGGACCCCTTCGAGGACTCTGTGGGTGGACCCGTGACGCCAGACACCCAGCTGATGGGTAATTGTCTCCCCTGGGCAGTGGGCGGGCACAGCATTCTGGAAGCTTCTGCACTCCCCTGAAGGCGCCCCCACCCCATACAATTCTCTCCAGTTCACGAGGCGATAACTGAGGCTCCAGGCCTGTGGGCTGGTGCAGCACCTACCCCACCCGCCATCCCTACCCCCCACCCCCAGCACAGCCACCCCCACACCCCACCCCAGCCAGGCAGGCTGCTTGCTCCGGTTAAACACTGAGCCTGGCACAGGCGGGCTGGGGGCGGGCTGAGCGCCATGAACACCGCCAGGCCCGGGAGGCCGGGTCTTGTCCAGAAAGCCAGCGCTGCCGTGACCCTGGGCTCCGGCCGCGCGTCTGCTCTCCCCGCCCTGCCTCGTGTCGGGCGGCCGTGTCCCTGTGACGTGCACGGCCCCGTGGGAGGGGGTGAGAGGGACCGGCGTTCACAGCCCCGTGCGCCCTGAGTGGCCCTGGCCGACCTTGCTGGCGAGGACTGGAGGGAGGGCCCTGCCCCCAGGCCTGTTTCCCATGTCAGCCTGAGGCCACAGCGCCCTCTCTGAGGGCCACGTAGATGCCAGCCCTCTGGTGCGGTGGGCGGCCAGGCCTCCCCACACGCGGGCAGGCGCCACGGGTCCCACGGCAGGCGGGACGGGTGCGCCTGGCTGCGGCTGCCGTCTGCCCGGCCGGCCCCCGCACTGACCGTGCCCTCCCTCCGCAGCCGTGGGCCTGGCCTCCGCCGTGGCCGGCTACCGGGGCGCGGGGCCCGAAGAGCTGACCTTCCTCAGCGGCGACGGCATCGAGATCCTGGGCGCGCGGGTGCCCGGCCTGCCCTGGTTCCTGGGCCGGCACGTGGGCTCCGGCCGGATCGGCTTTGTGCGGACCGGCCTCGTCAGTGTGCAGGGCGGCGCGTCCGAGTGAGTGGCCCAGGCCCCCTGCTGCCCCGCCCAGGCCCCGCCGCTGCCCGCCTGCCTCGGGGGACCAGCCCACACCCCCGAGCCCGCTCCCGCCCCGCCCCGGGCCAGGGTCCCTCCTGTCTGGGCCTGGAGGCCGTGCTCTCGGCGCTGCCAGGGTCTTTCCCGGGGACACAACTGTGTGTCTACGCACCAGCCCCGGGGCGGCGGCGTGCACAGCGCCTCCTGCTGGGGTTTGGACCCACCAACGTGGCTTCTCTCGTTCTGAGGCCAGACCACCGCCAGGCGCCTGGGTTGCTCCATCCGCGGGCTGTAGGGGGGAAGGGGAGGGTGTCCTTCCTGCCTCCTCCGCTTTCCCAGGCCTTCAGGGTGCCCTGTGGCCCCGTCCCCCGTCTCCTTGTCTTCCCACGGCCTCCTTGTCTTCTCCTTGTCTTCCCCCACGTCTCTCATATGGACCGGTCCTGGGCTTAGAGCCGCCGAGTGGCCATCAGTGCCGCGGCTCCGGACCTCACCCTGACAGCCTGCAGGACCCCATTTGTGTGTGTGTGTGTGTGCATGTGTGTTGTGTGTGGAACTTCACAGGAGCTTGTTCAGAAAGCTTTGTGGAGCTTCAATGCCAGGGACAGGAGCTTCGTGGAGCTTCAATGCCAGGATCCCCTCAAAAAACCCTTCAGAGCTTCCGTGCCTGGCCAGTGACCCCGGTTTCACAGCCACCATTCACCATCTCCCCCTCCACCCCCCAGTCCAGCTGTGAGGCTGGCCTGCCCCTCCTTCCTGGCCTTTTCCTATGGCTCTTCCCTGGAGACCGTCATCCCGGCCCGGCTCCTCACTGTGTGGGTCCCCCTTGCCCTGTCTCTTTTATTTATTATTCATTTTTGTTTGTTTCTTATCTTTTTAAATATATATATATAATTGATTTCAGAGAGGAAGGAAGGAAGAGAGAGAATCATGGACCGGCTGCCCCCTGCACTCCCTGCACTGGGGATGGAGCCCACAGCCCGGGCACTGCCCCGCCCGGGAATTGAACCGTGACCTCCCGGTTCGTAGGTGGACGCTCTATCGCGGAGCCACCCGGCCGGGCTGCGGTTGTATCTTAACCCAGAGGTGTGCCGGGCCGGCCTGCTTAGCAGGAGACCCCGAGGACTCCCCTCGCCACCGGACGGAGTCGCTGGCACCTCCGCTCAGGGCCTGTGTCCCCGGGCCTCGGGGAAAGGTCGCGGTGACAGCGCGAGGCCCGCACCCTCCCCTGACGGCCCGGGCCCCCGGGACCACACACTTTCTCCTCTTTCCTCCACGTCCAGGGTTTCCTCCGCCCTGGAGAGGGAGCTGGGAACATGATGTTCTTTCCTCCGAAACCGCTCTGTTTTCAAAACCAGACATCCTCTTGCACAACCACGTCTGACTGTCAAGCCCAGGAATGAACCCCGACATGTCCTCACACACCGCCCCCCCCCCCGTCCTTACACGCCCAGTCCTCACTCCCCCTCATCCTCACCACCACCCCCCGTCCTCACACCCCGTCCTCACACCCCGTCCTCACACCCCGTCCTCACTCCCCGTCCTCACACCCCGTCCTCACACACCGCCCCCCCCCCCGTCCTCACACCCCGTCCTCACTCCCCGTCCTCACACCCCGTCCTCACACCCACCCTGTCCTCACACCCTGTCCTCACACCCACCCTGTCCTCACCCTGTCCTCACACCCACCCTGTCCTCACCCTGTCCTCACACCCACCCTGTCCTCACACTCCCCCGTCCTCACACCCACCCTGTCCTCACACCCCGTCCTCACACCCACCCTGTCCTCACACCCTGTCCTCACACCCCGTCCTCACACCCCGTCCTCACACCCCGTCCTCACACCCTGTCCTCACACACCGTCCTCACACCCACCCTGTCCTCACACCCCGTCCTCACACCCACCCTGTCCTCACACCCCGTCCTCACACCCCGTCCTCACACCCCGTCCTCACACCCCCGTCCTCACACTCCCCCGTCCTCACACCCACCCCGTCCTCACACCCCATCCGCACACTCCCCCGTCCTCACACCCCGTCCTCACACCCCGTCCTCACACTCCCCGTCCTAACCCGTCCTCACACCCCGTCCTCACACCCCGTCCTACACCCCGGTCCTCACACCCCGTCCTCACCCCCCGTCCTCACACTCCCCCGTCCTCACACCCCGTCCTCACACCCTGTCCTCACACCCCGTCCTCACACCCCGTCCTCACACTCCCCCGTCCTCACACCCTGTCCTCACACCCCGTCCTCACACCCCGTCCTCACACCCTGTCCTCACACCCCATCCGCACACTCCCCTGTCCTTACACCCCGTCCTCACACTCCGTCCTCACACCCCGTCCTCACACCCCGTCCTCACACCCCGTCCTCACACCCTGTCCTCACACCCCGTCCTCACACCCACCCTGTCCTCACACCCCGTCCTCACACTCCCCCGTCCTCACACCCTGTCCTCACACCCCGTCCTCACACACGGTCCTCACACCCCCGTCCTCACACCCCGTCCTCACACACCCCATTCGGATTTGCCAGTTTCCCACACTCCCGCTCTAGCCAGGGAGCATTCCAGACGGCGTGTTCCCAGCTGTCCTGTCTCCTTGTCTGTCCCCTTCGCCTGCGGTTACTCATCTTTCTTGTCTTTATGACACTGACACCTGTCATTCATTGTGCCCGGTGTCCCCCGGCTGCTCTACGGTCCTCTTTGCCTTCTCAGAACAGCACCCTCTGAGCTCGAAGGCGCATGTCCAAGTTCCACCCTCTGCGGGGAACGTCATCCTATAAGCAAGTGGCGTCCTCCTTCCCTCCCCCGCCTTCCCCGTGTCCTCTGGCTTCCCTCTCCCCAACCTCACGGAGCACACACGTGTCTGTGTGGGGTGCCTGGGAGCGCGGGGGGCTTGTGTGAGGAGCTGAGTGTGTGGAGGGATCCATTCTGCCTGCACCGTCACGCCGGCCTCCAGGGGGCCAGGGGGAGGGCATTTGAGGTTGGGCTTTGCAGGCAGCCCAGGAGCTCTGTGACCCGCTGCATCTGTCCCAGCCCCGGCTCTGAGCGCTCGCTGCTAGGCTGGCAAGGCGGGGCTCCCTGGAGGCAGGCTGTTCGGTTGTGTTTGTTGTCTGGGGCCTTCGCTGCTGGGCACGCAGTAGGTTTGTTGTCTAGGGCCTTCGCTGCTGGGCACACAGTAGTTTGTTGTTTGGGGCCTTCGCTGCTGGGCACACAGTAGGTTTGTTGTCTGGGGCCTTCGCTGCTGGGCACGCAGTAGGTTTGTTGTCTGGGGCCTTCGCTGCTGGGCACGCAGTAGGTTTGTTGTCTGGGGCCTTCGCTGCTGGGCACGCAGTAGGTTTGTTGTCTGGGGCCTTCGCTGCTGGGCACGCAGTAGGTTTGTTGTCTGGGGCCTTCGCTGCTGGGCACGCAGTAGGTTTGTTGTTTGGGGCCTTCGCTGCTGGGCACGCAGTAGGTTTGTTGTCTGGGGCCTTCGCTGCTGGGCACGCAGTAGGTTTGTTGTCTGGGGCCTTCGCTGCTGGGCACGCAGTAGGTGTGCAGGGACCAGTGGAGGGAGCGCAGTGGGTCTTCCTGGCGCCGCGGGGAGGCGGCGGTGTGAGGTGAGCCTCTGTTTCTCCAGGCTGGAGAGCGTGCTTTTCCTCGACGAGGAGGAGAGGGCCTTCCTCCACCGGGAGGGCGGCTTCTCCGAGGAGGACGCACGGCGGCTGCTGAGCCGGACGGCGGGCGCGGACGTCTGCACGGCCTACAGCTTGGGTAGGTGCGGTGCGGTGCGGTGCGGCCGGCCCGGCGGCCACTCCCAGACGCTGTCCCGGCTCCCCTCTCCCCGCGCTTGGGTTTCCCTGAGGCCGTCCGTGTGCAGGGCAGAGGACGGAGGTGTGTCCCAGTGACAGAAGGGAACGGGATGGGGCCGAGGCCGGGTCACAAACGTGGCTCACGGCTTCCTCCCCCTGGAGGGAGACAGACACGCGTGGGTGCACGCCTGCATGTACAAACAGACACACACGTGCGTGTGCACACACTTACATGCCTACACACACACTCACATGAAGACATGCACACCCAAATACACCCTGGCACAGATAACCACACACACACACATGCACACACACATGTGTGCGCACACACACATCTGCCTGTTGTGAACATGTGTGGCGAGACGTTTCCCCAGGCAGCAAGTGAGAGCCCCGCCACGCAGCCCTGCTTCTCTGAGCGCTGACACTGGCCGGGCCTGGTGTGGGGTCTCCCGCTGGGCCCCGGTTCTGGGGAGGCGTGGGGGTCAGCTCTCCCTGCCGGACGCCGCGTGGTCTCCGGGGCTGAGTCTCCGCGCGGTCTCAGCGACAGCTCACACTTTGCAGGTCTCCGTTCCGCTCTTTCTCATGAGGTTCCTGAGGCGGCACGTGTACCCGCTCCACAGAGGGGAGCACTGAGGCTTGGGGAGGCGCTGCCTGGGCGGGGGGCCCCTGTTCCCTGGGAGAGCCGCAGCCTCGAGGGTGGAAGCCACCGCCCCTCGCGGGAGACAGCCCTGCAGTGATGCTGGTGGAGGCAGACCCTGGGGGACCCAGCTTCTCGGCCCCTCATCGGTGGGCCCCTGAGCCCCAAGGCCCCTCGCGGGCGCTGGAGTTGGGAGTGTCACCAACTGGGGTCACCCCCTCTGAGCACACGGCCCGGGGTCGGAGGGCGCTGGCCGGAGGCTGACCTTCTCTCCTCCCCTTTCAGACAGACACGGAGACGCTGAGGCTGAGCCGTCGGAAGAGCAAGGTGGGCTCCTCTGGGCACGGCTGGGCTCAGGGCTGACGTGGGGCAGAGGCCTGGGGGCTGGCCGCCGTGGGTGCTGGGCAGTCCTCACCCCCTGCGGGAGGGCTTGGGGGTCCTGCCTGGAGGCTGCCTGCGGTGCCGGGGAGCGTCCTCCGCTGCGACAGCCGCTGCGGCCCCGGACCTGGGTGTTTTCCTGGCAAATCGAACGTCGGGTCGGACGCAGCCAGTGAGCCACACTCCCTGTACTGACTCCGACCGCACCAGCCCCCTGCCCCCCAGTCTGGACCCCTTCTGCCCGCGGGCCTGAGACAGAGGCTCCTTGCTGCTCTCCTCCCCGGAGCCGTGTTTTCCCAACAGGAAACGGCGTGTTTGCTCAGCGACTGGCCTGCCTTCGGGCCTGGCTCTCCAAACCCAGCAGTCCCGGCGCCGGGTGCTCCCGCGCCCGCCCGCCCGCCCGCCTCCTGTAACCCGCTGACAGCGTGGCCTCAGCGTCCCAAACCGCTCAGGGCGGAGGGAGGGGGCCGGGCCGGGCGGGTCCACTCCTTCTGGCTGGAAACGGTCCCGGGAGAGGAGGGGGCTTCCTCCCCTGGGCCGGCTCTCTCGGCTCCGTGGCTGGCTTTACAGCTCAGGCTAAGCCCTCCTCTGACTGGCTCTTGATGATGTCACAGGATCGCTGCACCTGACTGGTGTCACGTGGGCAGTTGCAGCACTGAGTGGGTGTCCCATTGAGTGGCTTTGCAGGGAAGGGGCCTGTGTGGTCACAGAGCGAGGACACTAGTCTCCTGCAACTGCTCTCAAACAGGAAAGACTAAGAAAAGGAGGCCAGACTGGCCTGTGTTTTCCTGTAACCATGCGGCTGAGCCCCCCTGTGTGCTGAGCCCCCCTGTGCGCTGGGCCCCACTGTGCGCTGAGCCCCACTGTGCGCTGAGCCCCCCTGTGCGCTGAGCCCCCCTGTGCGCTGGGCCCCACTGTGCGCTGAGCCCCACTGTGCGCTGAGCCCCACTGTGCGCTGGGCCCGGCGTTCCCCGGGGAGCAGTATCTGCCAAACGCCGCCACAGGGATGCTGTGCCTGGGGAGGGACGTCGCTGCCCGTCCTGGACTCGGAGCAGACTCTAATCCACCTCCGGTTTTGGTAACTTGCAGAATCGCCTCTGCCTGGCCTGCACCCGGAGCCACACGAGACCCTGCAGACGGTGAAGAAGGTTCTGGAACGATGGAAGTCCTGCCACCGCTGCCCCGAGGAGCCAGGGTCCTGGGGTCTCACCTCGGTGTCCAGTGAAGCGAGCTCGCCGGACCCCGAGGAGCCCCCCTTCCGCCTGGACGCGGAGGACGACTGGGCGGACCCGGGGGCCCTGGGCCCCCTGCTGCGGTTCCTGGACGCCCCCGGGTTCGAGCCCGGCTTCCGTGGCCTGTACGACGCCTCCCTGCCGGCGCTCGGCGCCGCGTTCCGTGGCTTCGCCGACGAGGAGGAGCTGGCCGGGCGCCTGGCCCAGGCGCGGGGGGCGGCCAAGAAGGCGGAGCTCCCCATGGCGCTGGCCCGGCTCTGCTTCCTGCTGGGGCTGCTGTGCGCGCGGCGCCTCAAGCTGTCCCAGGCCCGCGTGTACTTCGAGGAGGCGCTGGGGGCCCTGGGCGGCCGCTTCGGGGACCTCCGCCTGGTGGCGGCTCTGTACGCCAACCTGGCCGCCGTCCACCTGCGGCAGAGCAACCGCGGCCGGTGCGGGCAGGTGGTGCCCAAGGCCTGCGCCCTGCTGCTGGGCGCACCGGGCCACGGCGGCGGCACCGAGGCCGAGGCGGAGCTGCTGCGGCTGGCCCTGCGCCGGGCCGTGGCCGCCCGCAGCCCGCAGGCCGAGGCCCGCGCCTGCTTCCTGCTGGCCCGGCTCCGGGTCCGCCTCAAGCAGCCCGAGGCGGCCCTGCCCTTCCTGGAGCGGCTGCTGCTGCTGCACGGCGCCCTGGGCCGCCCGGACGCCGCCTGGCCCGCCGACGGCTACCTGCTGCTGGCCGACATGTACGGCCGCCTGTGCCTGCCGCGCCTGGCGCTGGGCTGCGTGCGGGCGGCCTCGCTGCGCGCCCCGGGCTCGCTGGCCGGCGCGCTGCGGAGCGTGGACCTCGTCCTGCGGAACGCGCCGCGGCCCCCGCGCCTGCCCCCGCAGATCGCGCCCTACCTCCGGCAGGCGCTGGCCGCCCCCGCCCCCGGCCCGGCCCCCGCGTGGCGCGGGCCCCTCTACGCCAGCCTGGCCCGGCTGCACAGCCTGCACCGGCAGCACGGCCCGGCCATCGCCTGCATGACGCGGGCGCTGCAGGCCGGCGCGGAGGCGGGCGGCCGCCGGCTGGTGGACGACCTGCTGGCCCTGGCCTGGCTGCACGTGCTGCACGGGCAGAGCCGCGTGGCGCTGGGCATCCTGCGGTCGGTCGTGGCCGCGGCCGCGGCCGGCGCGGACCGGGAGGGCGTGGTCGCCAACATGATGGCCGTCGCCCTGAAGAGGACGGGCCGGACGCGGCGGGCGGCCGAGGGCTACTTCCGCGCCCTGGGCGTCGCCCGGCGGCTGGGCCAGCGGCGGAACCAGGCGGTGGCCCTGGCCAACTTCGGGGCGCTGTGCCTGCAGGCGGGGGCGCGCGGGCTGGCCCAGCACTACCTCCTGCAGGCCGTGCGGCTCTTCGCCGGGCTGCCCAGCGGGGAGCGCGGCCCGGACCTCACCCACGTGCTCCTGCAGCTGGGCCAGCTGTGCACGCACCGGGCCCTCGCCCAGCAGGGCAAGTGCTACTACCAGTGGGCCTTCCTGGTGGCCGTGGAGACCGGCCACCTGGACGGTAAGTGCCGCCCAGCCCCCTCTGACTTCCCGGAAAGAGCGAGCTTTCTTTCCGTCGCTGGCCAGGGCGCGCGGGTGTGGGAGTCACAGGCGGGCGGCGGAGTTTCCACCCCGACAGCACTGACTCATGGAAACCGCCCTGTGCAGGCGGCTCCCTCGCGGGGGACCGACAGACAGGGCCACCAGCATGTCTGCCCCTCACCCACCCGAGCACCCCCACCGCCACGGGCATCGCCCGGGACTGATAACGACGGGTGCCATCTCTCCAGCACCCATGGCTGCCCCGCCTGGCCCCAGCGTGTGACCTTGGATAGCTGCCCGGCCTGTCTGGGCTCAGCGTCCGACCCGCGATGACCCAGCGAGGGGGGTGGGAGCGCGGCACACACAGGGCCTGGCCCCACCCGCTGCGGTGCGTGACGGACGCCGCCTCTCCCTGTGTCCCGCAGGCCAGCTGCGTGCCGTCCAGCGGCTGTGCCACTTCTACAGCGCGGTGCGGCCCCGCAGGGCCCAGTGCCTCGTCTACCACGAGCTGCAGCTGGCGCTGGCCCGCCGGGCGGCCGACACGGCGCTGGAGGGGCAGCTCCTGGAGACCATCAGCCGGCTCTACCTGGCGCTGGGCACCGAGCGGTGAGGGGCTCCGCGGGCAGCAGGCGGCCGGGACCGGAGGCCGTGTCCGCCTCCCAGGGGCCCTCCCGGGGGGCCATGTCCTTCCTTAGCGCCCGGGAAGCGGGCGGGCGGGCGGGCGGAGGAATTGGCCAGCGCCCGGGGGCCAGTTCTCACCGTGGCTCCGGCTCCAGGGCCTACAAATTGGCGCTGGACTACACTAAGCGCAGCCTGGGCATCTTCATCGACCTCCAGGAGAAGGAGAAGGAGGCGCACGCCTGGCTGCAGGCCGGCAAGATCTACTACCTCCTGCGGCAGGACGAGCTGGTGGACCTGTACATCCAGGTGGGCGGCGGGCGGCGGGCGGCGGGCGGCGGGCACCTGTGCCCGGGCAGCACTCCTTCGCACTGAGCCTCTGCCGAGCGGCGTGCCCGGGGCCCGTGCCATCTCCCCACGGCCCCCACCCACTGCCAGCACCTTTCCCAGCACCTGAGCTCCCCGGAGGCCGAGGCGTGTGCCCCTCGTGGTGCCCACTCCGTGTTGGCCCAGCAAGTGCTCCATTCGCGTGCACGCAGTGCACACACAGTGCACACACAGCGCACACACAGTGCCCACACAGCGCACACACAGTGCACACGCAGTGCCCACACAGTGCACACGCAGCGCACACACAGTGCCCACACAGCGCACACACAGTGCACACACAGCGCACACGCAGTGCCCACACAGTGCACACGCAGTGCACACACAGCGCACACGCAGTGCACACACAGCGCACACGCAGTGCACACGCAGTGCACACGCAGTGCACACACAGTGCACACAGGAGACCTCGCCCCAGCAGCACATGGCTTGTGCCCCAGCTTGAAACATGGCGCGATCTGGGGCGAACGGAGACTCCTGTCCTTGCGAGGCTGCTCCTTCCTGAGCTGCTGCCGGGCCTCCCAGGCCGGGGCCGGGCTCCGGGGAGGGTACGGCTGAGGGAGAGGCTCCTCGGACAGTGCTGACTCGGCCCGGGGCTGTGGCGGGGTGGGGCCAGAGGAGCAGGAGGGCAAGCCCTTGCCCGTCTGCGTCACTGAGGCTGTGAGTTGCATGAGGTGCGCAGTGCCCACTGGGAGGGGGTTCGGGCAGCAGGACACAGGCACAAAGGCCCGGGGTGCACCGACTCTGGGGCTGCAGGCAGGGCTAGTCCATCACTCACTCAGCGGTATTTGTTGAGCACCTACTATGCACCAGGTGCCGTGCCAGGCCCCCGACGCAGAGGGAAGCCCAGGGCCTTAGTCCTCTGGTGGGAGAGGGGGCAGCCATGTGCCACCAGGAGTGCCAAGGGGACAGAGGGGACATGGGGGCGAAGGTGAGGCCAGAGGGAGGACGCCTGGGCCAGGCGTGGCCGTGGGCTCGGGGCCCGCCCTGACTCTGCGCCAGGCTCCTCAGCAGTCCCGCCCCGCCGGCCCCGAGCCCCCCACGGGCCTCACCCCGTGGGTGACAGGGACCCCACGAAGCCCAGGGCCGCCCCTCCGGTGTGTGAGAGGGAAGAGGCCGGACACGAGGGCCCCGGGGGGTGGGATGTGGCTGTGAGGGTCCCACTGGGACGGCCCCGTCCCGCGGGCGCACGGTGGGTCTCACAGGCCCCCGTCCCTGCAGGTGGCCCAGGACGCGGCCCTGTACACAGGGGACCCCAACCTGGGGCTGGAGCTGTTCGAGGCGGCCGGAGACATCTTCTTCAATGGTGCCTGGGAGCGGGAGAAGGCCGTGTCCTTCTACAGGGTGAGGCCCGGTGGGCGGGGCGGGGAGCTCAGTGGGCGTCCCCCGGCGGGTGGGGCAGGGTGCGGGGCTCAGTGGGCGTCCCCGCGTAGGCAGAGGTGCATGCACAGCCGGAGCGGCCCCCTGGGAGGCAGGGTCACTCTCTGCACTGTCTGGGGTAGCCCTGACCCCACCCCCACCCCAACCTGGAGGGACAGAGAAGGGACGCATTGTGTGAGCGTCACAGGCAGCTCCCGGCATGCAGCTCGCGTCCCTGTAATCTCCAACAACCCAGAGTGTGCCTGTGCCCATTTTACAGATGAGGAAACTGAGGCTCAGAGGAGCACAGGGTGTGCCAAAGGGCAAGCATACCAGGGGGAGGATCAGGCCCAGGGCCCAGTCTGCATGTGCCCCCAGGGAGGGTGGCTTCTCCCCTCCGTCAGCCCCACTGCGGGTTCAGATGGGCGTGGCGTGTCAGAGCCCAGACGGGTGGCGGAGCCCCTGTCAGGCCCTCGGCCCGGAGGGGAGGGTCCGGCTGGGGTTGTACAGTGTGGACAGAGGGGCTGCTCACGCCGTGGCCCTGGGGTGTCAGGCCTCTGGGAGCTGGCCTTTCTCTCGGGGGACAGAGGTCACTGGCAGCTCCCCGGGCAGTGTGGGAGCTCTGGGGTTGGGGGTCCCGGGTGCAGGCAGGCCGAGGCGGGAGGAGCCTGACCCGCCTCCCGCTCCGGCAGGACCGGGCGCTGCCCCTGGCCGTGACCACCGGGAACCAGGAGGCGGAGCTGCGGCTGTGCAACAAGCTGGTGGCGCTGCTGGCAGAGCTGGGCCTGCAGCAGGAGGGCCTGGAGTTTGCCCACATGGCCCTGGCCCTCAGCATCACCCTGGGTGAGCCTGCCCCGCCAGCCCGCCTCGGGCAGCGGGGTAGGGGGCTGAAGGGGCAGGGGCTGACCCAGGCCGTGCGGGGTCTCAGCAACGTTGCTGCGGCTGTGGCCTCCTTGGTCCCTCGCCACCCGAGGCCAGCCATCCCAGATGTGCCGGCTCTCACCGGTCCCTGGCGGTGCCCGCCGATGCCGTGCCTTCCTGCACGTGGCCAGCCCGCTGGCCTTGGCTCATGGCCCCTCAGGCCCTTCCAGACTCTGGTCCCTCGATGCCGGGCACCCCTGTGTCTGGTCCCCTCACTGAACTGTCCCAGGCCTCCGTCCCCCAAAGATGGGAGCCCCAGAGGGCCAGGCGCACTCAGGTGTGAGAGGGGGTCCCGTGCTGGCCCCCAGCGCTCACCTGGGGCAGGGGCCTGGCACCGCCTGGTCCGAGAACGTCCTTGGGAAAGGGCGTGCCCACGGCTCATACACCAGGGGGGTCAGAGGCCACGGCTGAGGCTGCCTGGAGCCGGGTCTGACCTTTGGGGTCTCCAGGTGGCTTCGTCAGGCAGAGGGGGGCCTCCAAACCCCCCACTGGCCACATCCCCACGGCGGGCGGGGAGCAGGCCCCACTGCGCCCACTTCACAGACGGGAAGAGTGAGTCTCGGGCGGGAGGTGATGGGTGGGAGCTGAGGCAGCTCGGACCGGCCTGTGCTGTCCCCCGCCCCCCCCGCAGCGTGTCCTCACCACGGCCCCCGTGCCCGCAGGGGACCGGCTGAACGAGCGCGTGGCCTACCACCGGCTGGCCGGCCTGCACCAGCGGCTGCGCCACGCCGAGCTGGCCGAGCACTTCTACCTCAAGGCACTGTCACTGTGCAGCTCGCCGCTGCAGTTCGCCGAGGAGACGCTGTACTACGTGAAGGTGTACCTGGTGCTGGGGGACCTCATCTTCTACGACCTGAAGGTGGGCCGGGGGCGGGGGCGGGGGGCATCGCCCGCCCGGGGGGTCGCCGCTCAGACCCCCTAGGCCTGGGCCCGTCCTCAGTCCCAGGGTAGACAGCCGAGCGGGAGCTGGGGATGGCCACAGAAATGTGGGAGGGGAAAAGGGTATTTGGGGAGCGAAGGTGGGGCTCACCAAGGCCCCATGATGCCAGGTGCAGCCCCCAAACCCCGCCCCTCGCCGGGAGGGCTGCCCTTCGGGCCCCGGGGACCCCGTACCCCTTGGCCCCCCAACGTCCCCTCTCGGGCCAGGACCCCTTCGACGCGGCCGGGTACTACCAGCTGGCGCTGGCGGCGGCCGTGGACCTGGGCAACAAGAAGGCCCAGATGAAGATCTACGCGCGCCTGGCCACCATCCACCACCACTTCCTGCGGGACCGGGAGAGGTCGCTCTTCTTCTACCAGAAGGCCCGCACCTTCGCCTCCGAGCTCAGCGGCCGCCGGGGCCGCCCCGGCCCGCCGCGCTGCTGGGGGCGCGCGCCCTGGCTGGCCCCCGGCCACCCGCCCTGAGGCCAGGCGCCCTGTCCCGGCGCGGTTTCCCGGAAACGGAGGCAGCGGCCCCCCCCCCCCGTGGCCTCCTGGGGGCCACCTGCTGCTGCACCCCGTCCTCGGGCTTCACTGGGTGCACTGTGAGGCCAGCGACCCAGGCTGGGCCCTGCCAGCCGCTCACGGTGTGGCCGTGGGCACGCTCCTCCCGTCTCCCCTCCCGGGGCCCCGTGTGTCCGTCCGCACGGCTCTGCCCTGACCCAGGAGCCCCCTGTGAGGGCGGACTGGCCGGGCCCCTTTTACAGCGGAAGAAACAGGAGCAGAGAGGCGCGGAGCCCTGCCCCCGGCATCACAGCAGATGAGCGGGAGGGCCATGGAGGCCCTGCTCCCCCGCAGGCGCCGAGGGCGGGAACCAGGCATCCCGCTGGCTCTCAGGCAGGGAGACCGAGGCTCCGGGAGGGTGCCCGGGGCTTCCCGCCCACACGCTCTGCGCCGGCCCCTCTTCTTCCCGAACCTGTTTGTTAACGAGGGGAACGTCACACAATATAAACGAAGCGGTTCCACCGGGCCCGTCAGTGGCTTTTTGTCTTTCCCCACGCCGTGCAGCCACCACCCGAGGAAGCCTGACCGCGGAACCCCTCTCCCAGGCCCCTCATTGGACAAAAGGGGGCCCCGGGACCTGGGGAGGGCCTCGCCGGGGGGCAGAGCGCGGAGCCCTGGGCATGGCTCTGTGCCCAGGGCGGTGGCACAGCGGGAGGTCCCAACGTGGCCTGGAAGATGCCACCCTTCCTTCCCCTGGTCCTGGAGCCCCAGAACCTGCTCAGAGGCGGCTGCCGGTCCTAGGCCTCTCCCACCAGGGGGCAGCAGAGAGCTTTCCAGAACCCCGAAGGGTGAGGTGAGGGCAGGGGCCCAGCAGAGCTGTGCACAAACAGTCCAGGCCTGACCTCCGGCTGCCCTCCCGGGGGCTGGCTGAAGGCGGGAGGAGGCCACAGCAATGGGGGACAGGAGCCCTGGGCAGTGCCCAGCACAACCGCACGGCCTCAGAGGCTGCCGGCCAGCACCCAGGCCGGGCCTGCCGCAGGGAGCACCGAGGGACCCAGGCCACCTGCCAACAGCGGCCTCCGACCATCAGGGCCTCGGGATCCGGGACTCCCTGTCCTCCCACAGGCTCATCCCCGCCCACAGCGGGCACTGCCCCCCGGGACCCCCTGGCTCTCGGCACAGACCCGGTGTGCACCCCCGGGCTCAGAGTCAAGCCCCACTTCCAGGCTGTGGGGTCCGTGGAAGAGTTTATTTCTGAGTCTGAGCGGACAGACCCCGTATCGGGGTGAAGCGAGGATCTGAGCAGCCGGCCCGGCTCGGCTCCGGCGGCCGCCACCTGTTTCCGATTAATGAGGCCGTTGCTCGAGGACAAGTCTGTTTGGCTGTGGACACCGAGCCAAACTCCAGTCACTGGCCAGGCCGCTTCACCACTCAGACCCTCAGTCTCGTCTTCATCCGTACCCTGAGGCAAGCCACGCCTCAGGCTCTGAGGATGAGGGGGACCGTGTGCCGGGCACCCAGGGGGTGCTCGGAGCTGGGCTGCCGGCCTCTGCTGTGGCCGAGGCGCGGAGCAGGCCGGGAGGGGCCCGGGCCGCCCCAGGCTCACAGCCCAGACCCGCTTCGCCCTTCCGAGGCCCTTCCTCCAGCAGAGTGGGCGCGAGACGGGCATGGGCCGGGCACAGGTGGGCCTTCAGCCCTCGGCACCGGCGGGCACGCAGCCCGGATCCCGTGGCCTGGTTTAGAAGGAGGCGCCGTGTCTCCACGGGGTCCGTCCAGTCTCCTTCCCACACCCCTCACTGCGCACCTACTGTGCGCAAACTCCATTAACGCTGTGCGCCGCTGCGGGGCTGGGCTGGGCGGGCCGCTCCTGGAGGAGCCACGGGGCTGGGAGGAAAGCACACTCCTGCCGGGGTCCCTGGAGGCTCCCACCCACCTCCCGTCACAGCCCCGCCTCCTGACCGCCAGGTGCCGGTGGCCCATCACCTGGCTGTGCCCCCTCCGCTCCGGCTCCCCGAGGAGCAGAGGCTGGGCCAGGCCGGGTCGGCTCCGATGTGGATAAGGAAGCCGAAGCTCAAAGAGGGATTCGATCATCCCAAGGCTGCACAGCACCTGTCCCCGTAGTCCCCATGGAGGCCTCAGCCCCTCACCGCCACGTGACAGTGTGAGCGCGAGAGGGGTGCCCGGGCAGACGTCTCGGACATGAGGGGCGAGAGACCCTCAGGAAGGAGTGAGCTCCCCGTCCGCCGAGGGGTCCACGCAGCCCACAGAGGGCCTGCGCATGGACAGGTGTGTCCAGGCGACCCCGAGAGCATGCCGGGCCCTGGGAGCCCTCGGACTCCCTGCACCGCTGCGGCCCCCGCTGCATGGGGGAGCTGGGGAGCGGGCGCTGAGCTCTCCTGGCCTGGGGGCTGCCTACCGGGGGGGGGGTGTATGCAAGTCCAAGCTGGGCCTCTGACGGGGTGACTGAGCACCTGCAGGAGGCGCCCCTCCTGTGCCAGGGGCCTGCCCCTCTTCTCCCCCCCCCCCCCCCCCCCGTGCCTCGGTGTTCTCATCTGTAAAAGGGGGCCACAGTCCTTGCAAACTGAAGCCCCCCTGGCACCCGCCGGGTCACCACACCCCCCAGGCGGGAGGCAGAGCTCTGACACGGCCTTTGGCCCCGGCTGGTGGCTCAGTGGTCAGAGCGTTGGTCCTGTCCTCACCGGACCCTCACGGCCCGGCCGAACCCACACGCCCTGGCTGGGGCGGCCCACAGCGTCCTGGAGGGGGAACGCGGGGCCGGGCGTCTCCGGGAAACGGAGCCCCTCCCAAAGACGATGGAAGCCTCTGGGGACGGGAGTGGGGGCCGTGAGGCTGGGCTCGGCGGGCTGGGTTTCCAGAGAAACAGGAGGGGGGTGGGGAAACGTGTCTCAGGCTCAGGAGCAGCCCGCCCGGCTGTGGGGAGGCCTGGGAGCGGTGGTGACCCCCATGCATGCAGCAGGCCCAGTGCCAGCAGACACGCCTGTTCCCGGCCGGGCGGGGCCGCAGCGAGGGTGAGGCCGGCCACACTGACGTCGCAGCCCAGCACGCCTGCTCCCCGACACACCCGGGGCCCCTCGTACCGGGCGCCAAGGATGGGGGGCCGCACCCCACACCTCTGCCGGGTCTGTGCGGGAGGAGGCCGGGGGGCGGCGCTGCGCCCCTGGCTGCTCCGTGGGGACTCCCCCTCCCACAGATCCTGCCAGTACCTGGGCAGTCCCCCCTCCCCCAGCCAGCTCGGGGCTGGGGAAACGCTCCCCCGCCTCCCCCACCCATATGAGGGAGGCCCTTGGCTTGAGGACAGCACCTCGGCCTAAGGGTTTCCCACCCTATTGCCAGGGGCCTGAGAAGAGGTCAGCGTAAGGTCAAGGACAAGGCCAGGGCTCCCACCACTTCCCGCTAAGGTCACCTTGGCGGTCAGGAGGCAGAGCCAGCAGGCCTGGGAAGAGGAACAGACTGGAGGGAGACTCGGACCTCAGTGTGGCCGGCTCGCCTGGGACGGGGCAGCCGCTTCCTGTGGCTGCTGAGACGATGACCACACGCTTGGTGACATACAACCACAGAAATGTGTGCTCCGTCCCAGACGCCAGCCGCTGAGCTCAGGCCGCAGGCCGCCCCTCCAGGCTCCGGGAGGGTCCCTGCCTCTGTTCCCAGGTCCGGCTGGGCTGTGGCCGCCTCGGCCCGCCCTGCCTCGGCCCCACGTGAGCTCCTCCCCCTGTGTGTGCTGAGGGCCAGGCCCCGGGGACTGGATGGCCTCAGGCATCAGGATGGACCCAGGCGCAGCCTCTGGCGGTAGGGTGCGGGCAGGCCTTTTTCGGGGCCACACGTAACACACGAGGGGGCTTCTTTAAGTGTTTCTTAACCCGACGTTAGAGAGGCAGGAAGGGAGAGGGAGGGAGAGAGAAGCATCTATCAGTTGCCTCCTGCACACACCCTGCCTGGGAGTCAGACCCACAACACCCCACCCCATGCACAGGACGACACAACCAGCTGAGCCACACCGGCCAGAGTGGGGACACTTTAAATATACACACATATGTATACACACACATATACATTATATACGTGTGTGTGTGTGTGTGTTTCAGAGAGGAAGGGAGCGGGAGCGAGAGAAACATAAATGACGAGAGAGAATCATGGATCGGCTGCCTCCTACACGCCCCCAACTGGGGATCGAACCCACAACCCGGGCCTGTGCCCTGACCAGGAATTGAACACAGACCTCCTGGCTTCTAGGTCAGTGCTCCACCCCTGAGCCACCCAGCCGGGCCTGGGGAGACGGTTTACAGGGTTTCCTGTGTTCTCTGCTCCTTCCTCCATGCTATGGTGATCAGACAGTCAGTGTTGCTCATCAGGCTAACAGTGAACACGCTGTTAAAACAGGAGTCCTTTCCCAGCGTGAGAGCCAGGCACAGACCGGGTGCCCGTGACAGAGGTCCCTGTCTCGGGCCCGGGCAGCCGTGTCGCGTGTCAGGGGGACGTGGCCACACAGACGTGTCCTGAGCCGGCCAGGCCCCGGGGCTCGGGGAGGGCGGGGCAGGGCAGGCGATGCTGACCGTGGGAAGCAGTGGGCAGACTACGCCCTGCCCTGTGGCCACTCAGGTCCTGGGGGAGAGGGGCGTCACCGCCCTGGCAAGGCAGGGCAGGTGCCTCCCCGCCCCTCTCCTCCGGCCCCCGCCGGCCCGGGCGGGCTGGGCAGGCGGCTGCAGGACCCGTGTGCAGGCCTTGCTGAGCGCCGAAAGGCCTGCGCCTCGCTGGTCCGGCTGCGTGCAGTGGTGTCAGTCAGTGCGCTGGGCCTGTCTTCTCCGGGCAGGGCTCGTGTCCGATGTGCGCCCGTGTGACCAGTGTCCACCCCGGGCTGGTGGCTGAGGGCAGGGGAGGAGGGCCTGTGCTGCCCACTGGCCTGCCCTGCCTCAGTGTCCCCACCTGTGTGCCCCTTAGGGTGGACAGCAAAGCGAGTGGCCGCCCCAGGACCCCGGCCTTCTGGGAGCTGGGCTCAGCGCCAGCCTCCGCCGCCCGCCTTCCTCCTCCTGGAGAGAACCCCAGGCTACAAGCCTTCCTCCGGCCGGAGCGGCTCCGGGACCAGAGCACCAGGGTGAGGCAGTGACACGCCAGGCAGCGGGACGCCCCACCAAGTCCTTGTTCCCATCACACAAACGCACTCGTGCTCATACCACGTGCAATGCACAGCACGCACACTGCATGCACACGCACACGAATGAGAGCACACACGCGCACATGGCTCTGCAATCGCTATGAAGTCACCCCCTGGCCGGGAGGTGGTCCACAGGAGGCACCCGCACCCCGCGCCCCGCACCCCGCACTCTGCACCCCGCGCAGGGTAGCTGGGGGATGCCTCCAGGTGTTGGCAGAGGGGTGAGGGGTGAGCTGTCTTTCTAACCATCACCCTGGCGCCAACCAGCCCCTGGATGTCAGCTCATTCCGCTGACGAAGGCGGCGGGCGGGCCTTTCACGTGCTGGAGGCATCCTGCTGCCACGCCCGCACACGCCCCGCTCCGTCCACCGGTGGCTGCTACGGCGCCGAGGTTGGAGGCCCCTGCAGCAGCGAAAAGCCGCCAGTGGAAATCCTCCCTTCCTCCTCCCTCCCCCCCTCCCTCACCCCCCCTCCTCCCTCTGTCCTTCCTCCTCCTTCCCTCCCTCCCTCCCTCCCCCCTCCCTCCCCCTCCCTCCCCCTCCCTCCCCCCTCCCTCACCCCCCCTCCTCCCTCTGTCCTTCCCTCCTCCTTCCCTCCCTCTCTCCTTCCCCCCCTCCCTCCCCCTCCCTCCCCCTCCCTCCCCCTCCCTCCTCCTCCCTCCCTCCTCCTCCCTCCCCCCCTCCCTCACCCCCCTCCTCCCTCTGTCCTTCCCTCCTCCTTCCCTCCCTCCCTCCCCCTCCCTCCCCCTCCCTCCCCCTCTGGGTGGGTCCCCGGGGCCTGGGAGCAGCCTGCGGTCTGTCCCTGCCTGCACTCCCCAGCCCCCCTCTGAGGTCCAGCGCGGGGCGCTCGGGCCCTGTGGGAAGGGGTCTGGGAACTGACCTTGGTTTTGTACGAGTGACCACACGGCTCTCCCCGAGGTCCCTGTGGCCAGCGGACCACCGTGCTGTGTGAGAGTGGCTGTCCCCCGTCCCCGGAGGACAGGCAGGGCAGCGGCCAGGAGGGGAGCAGGGGCCAGGAGCACAGGACAGGGAGCCGGGGAGCGGGAACAAGGGGAGAGGCCTGGGCAGCCCCCGCAGGGCGGCCGCCAGCCGGGTCCGCACACAGGCAGGAGCCCGGGCCGCGCGGAGGAGTGGGGTGCGGAGGGCATGCCTGGGGGGTGAGGTCACCCGTGCTGCGGCCAGAGCAGGGGGAAGTGCTGTGTCTGCACAAACCGCCTGGAAGGCGGGGGGAGGGGGAGGGGGGTCCCGGCGAGGGGAGCCGCAGCGGCCGCGGGCCGAAGCTTCTGTCTGTCTGTCCCGCAGGGAAATTACAGGGGCCGGCTGAGGCGCGCCGGAACCCGGGGCTCATCCATTCCCACTCTGCTCCGTCATCCGGGCGGTTTCCCCCACATCACCGGGAGCACTGGAGGGCAGAGGTCATCAGCCTGCAGCTCAGGGTGCCACCAAGGGCCGAGCCGGATGTGGGCACCGCGGGGACAGAGCCTGGTGGGGCCTGTCCTCTCAGCTCTGGCCTCACCCTCCGCCACCGTGGCCCGGCCACCCTCCGGCCCCGCTGCAGCCGGCGGCCCCCTCTGCTCCCTCCCAGAGCTCCAGGCTTGGCACGCCCAGGCCTCCTCTTCCCTGGAGGTGTCACCCAGGCTGCCCGGCGGCCTCCCCAGTCCCAGGGGTCCGGGTGGCCAGGCTCCGGGCTCCAGGCTCCGGCAGGGCCCGGGGAGGAAACGCACGGCTCGGAGTGAGTCGAAGTCAAGTGCAAATCCCAGCTGTTGGTCCTGGGAGGGCCCTTCGCCGGCCCTGTCTCAGGGCCTCGCCTGTCGAACGGGGACCTTGTGCAGGCATGAGGAGACGGTGCCCAGCACACAGTAGGCGCTCTATAAAGGGCTGGTCACACCCCTGCCGCCTCCAGCTGAGCTCTGGTGAATGTGTTCACCGTCAGGGCTGGCGAGGCCAGGGATCCACAGGAAACCCAACCAAGCGGGCTCAGCGTTACGTACGGAGGAGGTGCTGGGTCCGGCCAGAGGGAGAAAGGACGGCTTCAGGAACAGCAGGACCAGGCTCCAGGCCAGCTGCTCTCTCTCCTCCCGGGGCCCCTCAGGGGCCTCCAGATCCCTCAGGTCATGGGGGCTGCCAGCCACAGCTTCTGCTGTCCCCACGGCCGGGGAGGGGGTCCCTCCTGGCAGGAGGAAACCGCTTCCGGGGAGGTCTCCTGTGGAATGGGACTCACCCCTAAACCAATCCCTGGGGCGGGGGCGGGATATGCAGATGGGCTTGGCCAATCAGGTTTCAGTCCCACCTGAGTTTCGCGATCCCGGAGAGGACGCAGGCCTGTTGGCTGGGGGGTGGGGGCTCTGCCTCGGGGCGGGCCCTGGGGTCTCCCCGTCCAGGCTGCCCGCAGACAGATGTCCGAGGACAGAGCCGGCGGCCGCTGGTGAGTGTGGGAGGGGCTCCATCCTGAAGGTGAGCCGCAGGATCTGGAAGACACGGGGGCACGAGGCGGGCATAACCTCCCGTGGCTCCTGGCTGGAGCATCTCCCCTTCGTGACCACACGACCCCACCTTCGGCACCCCCCCCCCCCAGCCCGGCCGGCTGTGACCTGGGGCAGGTCACTCCCTGTCAGCCTCGCTCTCTTCCCTGTGACCTGGGGGCGGCGGGTGCTCCTACACCAGAGCCCGGGGTCCCACCGCGGGCGGGGAGTGCCCAGGGACCTGCCGGTATGGGGGCGGGTGGGGGGGCCGAGAGTGTCCCGTTAACGGAGTTACTGCTTCAGGCTGCCTGCTCGCCCTCCGTCAGCCCAGCAGGCCCCCGGGGCCCCTGGACACAGCTCAGGGTTCAACCTGCCGACCCGCGCATCACCCCCGCCAAGCCCGCCGTTCCCAGCGGCCTGGGTGGCCAGACCAGGCCTCAGGCTGCCTCTGGTGGCTCCCAGAGGGCAGAGTGGATGGAGGCCAGAGGGCAGACGGAGGCTGGAGGGCGGGTGGAGGCCTGGCAGCTTAGGAAGCAGGACAGAAGGACGGGCCCAGTCAGTGGGTGGGCGGGGCTATTGCTGGTCCAGGAGCGGCTCCGGTCCAGTTCGGGGGGGGGGGGGGGGGGAGGTGTTAATTTCCAAGAAGGGCTGGAGCAGCATCACTCAGAGATACGGCTGCTTCTTATGAGACACCAGCCCCTCCCTCCACGCCGCCCGCATTCCCCACCCGCCAGCTGTCCTGTCAGCGCTGCAGTGTCTTGTCTGCGAGGCATGAGTGCCGCTGCCCGGGGTCCGCTCCTGACTCTGGCTCACACGCTGTGTGCTGCTGGGCCTCTCTGTGCCTCGCTTCCTTCTCTGGGCACCAGCTACGGATGGTGCCGCCGCCTCCGAGGGTGTGGGCACAATCAGACTCTGTGGTGTCTGCCCGATACACACTAGACTCATCAATGTGACCTGCGGTTACCCCTCAGCCCGCCGCCCCTTCCGGCCTCAGTTTCCCCTCCTGTGAAATGGGCACGGAGCAGGATGGTGCTGGAGAGGGAGCATGAGCTCTGGGGTCGGATACGCTGTTCTCCCATCCTGGGTCCGCTCCCCATCAGCTCAGGGGCCTGGGAGCGCCCAGTCCAGCGTCTGTGCCCTGAGGGCGCAAGCCCGGCCCTGGGTGCTGTCACCACATCCTAAGGAAGTGCCAGGGCGGGGACCAGCGGGGTGACCCCCTCCTCCGGGCGAAGAGCCCCTCCTGTGTGGTCCCCGCCCTCGGCCCTCACCCCAAACTCGTTTTCTGTGGCTTCCAACACCCGTGTCAGCGGCCTGGGCCGGGTTCAGGTGTTCGGCTTTGGCAGAATTCGCTTCCTCTGGGTTGTAGAACTGAGGTCTCTCTTTGCTGCTGGCTGAGAGGATGGGGGAGAGGGGTCAGGGGGAGGGGGGCGCCCAGCTCCAGCAGCCCCCTCCCCCAGGGCCGCACTCTCCCGAGCTCTGCACACGGAGCCCCAGGCTGCGGGAGGGCCAGCCCTGGGCCTGGGCGCTCGCCTCAAAATGGGGTCTGATAGCACCCCCTTCCCAGGGGTCCCCAGAGCTGCTGCTGCGTCTGCCTCGCCTCTCCCGCAGCCCGGCCAGGGCCAGGCGGGGTCCGTGCGGTGAGGGCCAAGGGGAGGCTGCAGACAGAGTCCCACGTCACCCCTCCCACCCCACCCCGAGCGGGGCCCACCCTCTGAGTCACCCCCTTGTCCGATGATGCCTCTCGCAGACCAAGGTGTGGCTGGGGATGGTGGTCCAGGTCCCCAGAGGGAGTCAGCTGTGACCTCACCCGGCACGCGCCCCGGGCCTCACGGGGGCAGTCGAAGGGCAGAGCCTGCCCAGAGTTTGGGGAGCATGACCCAAGGACGAGCATGCAGCCCTGCTGGCCAGTTCTACGCAGAGGTGGTCGCCTCTTCTAGAACCTTCTGGTCCTGCGGTGCTGGGTGCCGCGAGCCACGGGGGCTGGCCTGAGCCCGTCCCTGTGGGCTCTGGGGGGTCTGCCTGTGCTAATGTGTTTTTGGGGGGACGGAGGAGCCATGCTCCTGAGTGAGAGAGGCCGATCCTCACCCCCCCAGTGTCACGGGCCCCTGTGCGCTTCCCAGTCACTCTGCCTGGACACTGCGCTCTCCGGTCCGCGCTGGCCCTCGGAGCCCCTGCAGGGAGGTCCCTGTGCCGCCTCTCCTCATCCCCCGGAGGCGTGCCCCAGGGGGGCCCTGCGACTCGGGGCGGGGGGGGGGGGGCTGTCAGGACCTCCTTCCCCGGCATCTCCCTGGCTCCCCGCCCCCCCCCTCCACGGGGGACCAGGCTGCTTCCCGGCGGGCGTGTCCTCAGCACGGGCCCCTGCTGCCCGGCCCCGGAGCCTCGGCGCTGAGAGGGGCGTCTCCCGGCAAGACCCTGACCTCACCTCACCCCGCTCCCACCCCGGCTCTCCTCCTCCGCTGGGCCTGGTTCGTAGGAGCCTGGCGGGTGGCGCAGGGACCAGAATGGGGCGGGTGTGGACCTGGAGCAGCCCCAGCCCCGGGGAGCAGGCACCCCGGTGACCAGTGCACCAGCAGGACCCGCGTGCCCTGTGCCCCGCCCGCCGAGGAGCCCACTTCCTCCCGCACCGCCTGGCGCACGCCAGGCCCCAGGCCCCTCGCCCGCCCGCGGGAGGCGGAGCTGGAGGAAAGGGGGTGCGGCCGGAGGGGGAGCCCTGAGGGTGAGGTTTGCTGACCAGAGGCAGGAAGGAGTGGGAGCAGCAGGGGGCGCTGCTCCCTCTGTGTCCAGCAGCTGAGGGTTCCCATTGAGGGCACAGAGCGCCCTGGGCCTCCGCCAGCCCCATTCTGCAGCCGGGGCCCAGCGCCGTGTCCGAGGACAAAGGCGACTAAGGGGCACGGCAGGGAGGGCAGCTCTGTGTCCGTCTGCACAAGAAATGAGCGCCTCCTTTGCAGGCAGCGGGAGAGGCCAGGTCGGGTGACGCGGGCAGTGTGGTCTGGAGGGAAGCGCTGGGCTTGGCTGGCAGGACCACAGGTCTGAGTCCCTGCCTGCTGTGGGCAGGCTCCACCTTCCAGAGCCTTCCTCTGAGGGTCATCCCGGCCCCGGGGCCGCGGACACGGAGTCAGGTAACACTGAGCACAGAGAGCCCCGGGCCGGGAGCAGCCATGATGCCATCCTACACCGCACAGGCCTGCGAGCGTGGCCTCAGTTTCCCCACCTGGGCAAGAAACGGAGCCCCTGACCCTTCCCAGTCTCCTCTTCTGTGCAGAGGGGCGGCGACCTCCTGCATTCCCAAGGAGCCACTCCTGGACCTGCGGGCCACTCCCTCTGCTCCATAGGCCTGGCTTGGCCTCCGGGTCTGCACACCGTCCCCCCGATGGACGCCCAGCCCCGGTCAGCATGCCGTCCCCACCAATGGAGGCCCAGCCCCGGTCAGCATGCCGTCCCCTCCCCAATAGAGGCCCAGCCCTGGTCAGCACTGTCCTCTCCAATGGACGCCCAGCCCCAGTCAGCACTGTCCTCTCCCCGATGGACGCCCAGTCCCGGTCAACACACCGTACTCCCCCCGATGGACGCCCAGCCCCGGTCTGCACTGTCCTCTCCCCGATGGAGGCCCAGCTCCGGATCAGCATGCCGTCCTCTCTGATGGAGGCCCAGCCCCGGTCAGCACACCGTCCTCCCCCCGATGGACGCCCAGCCCCGGTCAGCACACCGTCCTCCCTCCGATGGAGGCCCAGCCCCAGTCTGCACTGTCCTCTCCCCGATGGAGGCCCAGCTCCGGATCAGCACACCGTCCTCTCCGATGGAGGCCCAGCCCCGGCCAGCACGCCGTCCTCCCCCCGATGGACGCCCAGCCCCGGTCAGCACACCGTCCTCTCCGATGGAGGCCCAGCCCCGGCCAGCACGCCGTCCTCTCCTGATGGATGAGTGCTCGCTCTGGCCTGTGAGCAGGTGGGAGCGGTGGTGGCCGGCTCCAGTTTGTCCTCCGCCAGCTCCCAGTCCCCTCACCACACCCAAACCTCACTCACCTTCAGAGGGGGTTCAGCCCTCTCCTCGGACCCCGCAACCCCATCACAGTGGCTTCACTTCCTGTCCTGGCCCTGGGCGCCTGGGCGGGGATGGGGCCTGAAGTGCCCTCAGACTGCGGTTAATGAGGAGAAACAGCTTCCAGTCCCTGCAGACTGGGTGAAGCACCGCACCCCACCGCCTGCTGTCCGGGGCTCCCCAGCATCCTAGGAGATGCGCGGAGACGGACTGGAGGCAGAGCTGAGGACCCTGGACCAGCCCCCCGGGAGAGGCCACGCTCCAGCCTATAAGACCAGGCGTCGCCCAGGGGGCCCCTTCCCGGTCAGCGGACGTAGGAGGAAGTTCATCAATAATTGTTCCTCTTGCTCCCTCTCCCTTCCTCTCTGAAATCCGTAAGAAAATATTAAAAAGGAAAAAAATCCCCGGCGTGAGGGTTTGTCCCTGATGGAGGTGGGGGCGGGGGCAGGGGGACATCCATCCAACCCCTCAACCCTGCCCCGCTCTGAGGGCCCCCGGGGAGGTTGGGGGGAGGGAGCAGGCGGAGGGGGGGGGGCAGAGACAGGCTGGGGAGGAGGGGGGCAGCTCGGGTTGCTGGAACCCTGGACAGGGGCGCTTCTGGTGCAGGCGGCTCCGCCTCCCCATGGCCCCCCCAGGTCACCATCGTGGGCTCCCAGCCCAGGCCCAGGGCTGAGCCGCTGGGTGGGCCCAGGCCCCGGCCCCGGCGGGAAGGCTGGGCGGGGGCCGGCTGGGGCGGGCGCGGGGCTGGCGGGAGGCCGGGCCGCCCCTTCCAGGGGGGCGGGGCCGGGCTTCCCCTTAAATGCGCCGGGCCCTCCGCCTGCAGCCGGGAGCCCAGGAGCGAGCGAAGGAGCGGAGGGAACGGAGCCTCTCCCGTCCTCAGCCGCGGTCATGCCCCTGCGGTCCCGGCACCCGCCCGCCTGAGCCGAGCCGCCGGCGCCTGTGGCCGCGCCCGTCCGTCCGTCCGGCTCCCCGCAGGCGCCCGGCCCGCGGCCTCCGTGTCCCCGGCCCCGGCCGCCCTCGCCATGCGGGCACCGGCGCTGCTGCTGGCCGCGCTGGCCGCGCTGGCGCAGGCCCGGGAGCCCCCGGCGGCGCCCTGCCCCGCGCGCTGCGACGTGTCGCGCTGCCCGAGCCCGCGCTGCCCCGGCGGCTACGCGCCCGACCCCTGCGGCTGCTGCCTGGTGTGCGCGGCCGGCGAGGGCGAGCCGTGCGGCCGGCCGCTGGACGCGCCCTGCGGGGACAGCCTGGAGTGCTCGCGCGGCCTGTGCCGCTGCCGCTGGGCGCACGCCGTGTGCGGCACCGACGGGCACACCTACGCCAACGTGTGCGCGCTGCAGGCGGCCAGCCGGCGGGCGCTGCGGCTCTCCGGGGCGCCCGTGCGCCAGCTGCAGAAGGGCGCCTGCCCGCTGGGTGAGTGCGGGGCCGGGGCGGGCTGGTGGCGGGAGGGATGCGGAGGCTTCTCCAGGGGAAACTGAGGCTCAGCGCCAGAGTGGAGGGTGGCAGTCAGCTCGCCCTCCCTCTGGTGGGGAAACCGAGGCCCCGAGGGGTGACCGCAGCCTCCAGGGTCCATGTCCGTGGCTGTGTGTGTGGGTGTGGGGCGGTGGGGGGGGCTCTCTCCTGGCCCCAAGGCCCCAGGCCGGTGCCCAGACCAACAGTCAGTGTTTTCCTTCCTGGTCGCTGCACTCAGCATGGGCAGCTGCCAGCTGTGGGTCTGGGCGGCGAGGGCCCCCCCTCCCCCTGCAGAGGCTGCCCTGGGGCTCCTCAGTCCCTGGAGCCCGACCTGGGGCTGGCCCCAGGCTGCTTCTTCTTCTACTTATTTTTAACCCTCATTCCAGGGGATTTCCCCATGGGTTTCCGAAGAGAGGGAAAGACGGAGAAATATCCATGTGGGAGAAACACATCCATTGCTCACCACATGCCCGCGCCCCGACCAGGGCTGGGCCAGGCAGGAGCCTGCAACCGAGGCACATGCCCTCGGCCGGAATCAAACCAGGACCCTCCGGTCCACAGGCCGATACGCTCTCCACTGAGCAATACCGGCCAGGGCCTAGGTTGAGGTTGATTCTTGCCACACGGGTTGCCCCTCGGCATGGAAGAAAATGCTAGAAAACCTCCTGGCCCCGCTGGGGAAGGCAGGGACCCGAGGTCGTGGATCAGGCCCGCACGGCCCGAGCGGGAGACGCCAGGGCGCCGCTCCCGGTGCCGGGAGCCCTCAGGGCGGGGGACTCCCCAGCGGAGGGCGCCCTCCGGCAGCCAGGCGGAACGGCTGTGGGGCGAGCAGTCCTGTGCCCGGGGAGGCGGGCTCTGTGCGAGGGCAGGTGGGGAGCCACATAGCTCTGAGCAGCTGGTGCGTGGGGGGGGGGGGCGTACATGCGTACATGTGTGCACGTGTGCTGTGTGTGCCCGTGTGTGTGACACCAGGCTGGGCAGGCTGGCAGGGGTGGGATGACCCATGGCCACAGCATCACGCATAGACTTCACTCTGTAGACCGGCGCTCCGGCTGGTGTTCTGGGAGTTAGCGTCTGAGTCCAGGAAGTCTGTCAGAGGTTCCGAGAAAGCCTGCAGTGAGAGCATGCACACACGCGTGCACAGGCTCACACACACGTGCACAGGCGCGCACACACACACTCATGCACAGGCACAGGAATGACAACGCCCAGCGTTTCCCAGGAGAATTGCAGCAGAGCCTCTCCTTCCGGCTGGGACACCAGGTGCTCCGGGCACACCGGGGTTCCGGGGAGCTCCGTCTGGGAAGCACCAGCTGGCACTCCCTGGTGACAGGGGAGAGTCACGGGGGGGGCCCTAAGGGAAGTGAGGGGGATGCTCAGGCTCCGGCTTACACTTACCCATGTCAGGGCGAGAGCGTGGGGCCTGGGTGTCGGGAGATGGATGCTGACCTCAGGCTCGCAGGCCTGGGGCTGACACAGTGCCCGCAGCGTCACTGGCCTGTGAGTGCTCACACAGCCAGGCCTCCGCCAGCGCCGGCCCGTTTGCTCCGCGTCCGGCCCTGCGTGCACCGCAGACGTGCCTAGGGGGCAGCGCCAGGGCCAGCGCCTCATCTGAGGTCAGTGGGCCAGGAAGTGCCCGTGCCAGGCCTGGCCTCTAGGCTGCCGGCTTTGAAAGCCACCGGCTGGAGGTCCCCGGCTTTCACCTGCAGCAGGGGAAGGGGGTCCCTGAGGCCTGGAGTCGGGTCAGGCCTGGGTCTGGGGCAGGGTCCCCTCGCCCTCTGAGGGCCCAGCCGGAACGAGCTTTCACGCACAGAAGCCCTGCCAGCCTCCCCCAGGCCGGACTCTGGTGGCCTCTTCGGAGCCGAGCCCTGTGCCCTGCTGGCCGTGTCCTGGCTGCGAAGGCGTGTAGGTCAGAGCCTGCCTCCTTTGACCCTCTGCTTCTCACTACTCAGCGCGCACCCAGAGGCGGCTTTAGCTCGACCTGGATGCGTCCCCCAGCCGGCATGGCTCCCACTCGCCCTGACAACTCCGGCCTCCCCGTTCGTCCTCACGCCTCCTCCCTCTGCGGTGCACATGACCTTGACCAATCTGCCCTGCCCGTCCTCTGCGGGGTGCCCTCCACAGCTCCCTAACACTGACCCTGCCCCACGAGTGCCGTGCTGCCTGGCCCTCCCACCCCGAGCGCCTTCTCTTCCCCTGTGCCCCAGCCAGACGGTCTTCCCGCCCCAGGCCCCTTGCACATGCTGGGCCCGCTGCCCAAAGTCCCGTCCCTCCCGTCGTGTGGCCTGAGCTGCCCCCTGGCCACCTTGCCTCGGTATCCCCCCTCAGCCTCAGGTGTGCACCCTGGCGTCCCCCCAGACCCTCATTCCGCCTGTAGACAGGGCTCTGTCCATCGGCACCAGGCTCTGAGCCTCACGGGGCGGGGGCAGGGTCTGTCTCTTCCCGGGGGGGGAGGGGGAGGCAGAGCCTGGCGCACAGTAGGTGCTGTGAGTCACCACAGGATGGAGAATCTCCTACGACCCTCCCTGTCCCTGCGTGCCCCCCCCGCCCCTCCCCCCCGGGCCAGCGCTCACCACTTCCGGGAGGCAGTGCGGCCACGTGGTGTGCGCACCCACCTCTCTCACAGAACCGGGAGCTCAGAGACCAGGGGTGCGGAGGGTCTGCCCAGGGCGGAGGCCTCCCATCCCCCTGGGCCCTGGGAGGCTCCCGGCCTCCGGCCCGCTGCAGGCACAGGCCTCTGAGCGCAGGGAACTCAGAACCCGGAGCCCCGGGCGTCCTACAACGTGGCATCTCGTAATCAGCTTTTATCTGCAACCCCAGCAGGTTCCCGCGTGGCTCCCGGCGGTGCTTCCCGGAGAGCTTTGTTAGTGTTTGATTTTTAATCCTCTTAGCAAGTCAGGCAAGATGGCCCCCCCATGCCGCCTCCCCCGCACCCCTCCCACAGGCAGCAGAGCTGAACTGCAGGTCTGGCCCTCACTGGGCGGCTGGCGCCAGGGCCCTGGGAGCCCGGAGGGCAGCCAGAGGGGAGCGTGAGGCCCGGGCTGGCCAGTGACTGCAGCCAGAGCTTGGCCTAAAGCACCCTCACCCTCCGCCTCCCTCTGGCACCACCTGCCAGCCTGGAGGGCAGCTGGGACCCCAAGGCACCCTCGGGCTCGGCTCTCCTCTCCCTCCTGACAGCCTGCCGCCCTTGGCTCCCACCACCCATGGCTCCCGCCTGGCCTCCACCTCCTCCCACCGGCACCGCCCCTGGCAGGGCCCCCGGGAATCCCCGGTCCATCTGTGAGGGGCCGGTGAGGACGTGCAGGCCCAGAGGGGTAGATCAGGGAGGGCTTCTGGAGGAGGTGGCACCCGCCCGGCGTGGAGGGATGAGCACCAAGGGCCCAGGAGCCTGGCAGGCAGTGCTGAGCAAGGTGGATGCAGATGGAGCAGCCACAGGGCGGCCCATCTTTTGGGCTGGGGGAGGGGGGGCTGAGGAACTGTATGGGTAACAGGCGTGTACAGAGGGTGCAGGGACCCAGCCAGTGTCCTGGGTGCGGGAGCTGACAAGGCCTGGTGATAGCGGGGCAGAGGGGGAGGGGCGGCCCTGGAGGCTGTAGGATGTCAGGGCTGATGGAGTTGGAGGTTGGGGGCAGTGCCAGGGCAGAGGGATGGGGGCCCTTGGAGGAGCTGATTGGAGAGCCAAGATGATGAGCTCTGGTGAGGTTCGGAGCGGGGGTGGGGGGGGGCGCGGCATGGAGGGTGTCCGTGGGGGCTGGGCTCTGTGACGCTAGTGTGGCCAGCGTGTGGCTCTGTCTGTGGTCAGTGGCCATGCGCTGTGTGTGTGTGTCATCCGGAGGGTATGGCTCATCCCCTCGCCAGCCTGGGGACTCTGTGACCCGGCCGCCCTGGCAGCCCCACCCCATCCCCCCGCCAAAGCCAGGTCCCTGTCCTTGTCCCAAGTTCATGTGTGAGAGGCCTGCAGGAGCCCCCGGCCTCTGGGAGGCGAACAGAGCTGCCCGCCACGGCCACCCCGGGCATCACGCGGGTGAGCAGGAGCGGAGTGAGCACCAGGCCAGGGCGGGGCGGGGTGGGATGGGGGTGTGGGTGGGAGCAGGGTCCACCTGCCCTCTGTGTGCTTAGCCCCCGTGGCTCCCGTGGGCAGGGCCGGCTGCGCAGGGATGGTCCCAGCTCAGCCACGTCCCAAGGCGAGACTCTGCCGTCTCCTGAGCGCCCTCACCTCGGTTTTCCCATCTGTGGAATGGGAGCGCGGAGGTCCCTGTACCGGGCTGGCTGGACAGGGAGTGAGCCCAGGAGTGAAGAGTGCTTTGCGTGGTGTGAAGGCCCATCGGCACCGGAGGAACAAACCTACGTGCTGACAGACGGTGGTTTGGCGGACACGGGCCTGTGAGCGGGAGGGGAGGCGGGCAGGCCTGGAAGGAGCCAGGCGTGTTTGCGGGCCAGAGCTGCCGCGGGGCTCCCCAGGGAGCCAGGCAGGGAGGGCTCCCTGCAGGAGGAGGGCCCTCCAGGGCCTCGATGGATCGGGGACCGTGGTGTCCCGGCGTCCCCCCGGTCTGCAGGGCCGGCGAGCAGACTGGCCGGCGAGGCTCAGACCAGCTGGCGGCCCTGGAGGAATTCAGAGCCGAGGAGCCAGGCTGGCCCCACGCCCAGGACAGCGGGTGAGCTCCCGGGGCCGGCGGGCAGGCACATTGGCCGGGGACTGGCAGGGCCGGGGCCGAGTCTGGGGCAGAGGCCAGGGCCTGGCTGTGGGCCTGGGCAGGCCTCCCGTCTGTCTCCTGACCGCGCTGAGCCCTTCCTCGCCTGGAGAGGAGCTGAGGGCTCCTGCCTGGCAGAAACGCTGTGAGAGTCACTGCCATGTCAGGGCCCCCGCCCGGTGTGGTGGGCGTGGCCGGGGGAGGGGCAGGGCAGGAGCCTGGGCCCCCTCCGAGCTGCAGCTGCCTGGGGTGGGATCCCAGCCGCTGTCCTTGGCGGGAGAAGGCTCCTGGGGACCGGACGTTCGCAGGAGAAAGAAAAACACGGGGGCTGTCTGGGAATTGGCCCGGAGGCGGCTCTGGGCTTCACAGCTGCCTCTCCTGGGGCGGGGCTGGGGCCGTGCGGGGGGCGTGGAGGGCCTGGGCCGCTCCCTGTCCCTGGAGAACACTGTGCCCCCCTGGTCAGCCCTATGGCCCTCGCGGCCCCGGGCACAGCTGGCCACAGGGTGACGGGGCCTCTGTTCCCAGGACCGGGCAGGGACCTGGACTGCCCCTCGTGCTGGGGTCCCCATGGGGCGGTCCGGAGCCGGCTGTGCGCTCCGGGGGAGGCGGCCTGCGGCTGCCGGTCCTCTGTCTGCCCGTCTGCCCGTGGCCATCCTGACGCCCGTACCGACCCCAGAAGCAGCGGGCAGGGCCGGCAGGCGGAGCCGAGCCATCTCTCCTCCCGCTGCCCCTCCCCCGGGAGGCACCTCGGGACACGGCCAGCCGATGGCTGCTCTGTGTCCAGCCTCCGGCTGCACCGCCCAGGCCTGGGATGGTTTGTTTTGTGGGAGGAAGTGCTAGCAGCTGGGTCTGCGGGGAGGGTGCTGACTGAGAACGCTGGCCAAGCCCAGGGTGGGGGCGGCTGTCCAGACCCCCAAATAAACACGCCGTCCGCGCCCAGCCAGCCGCGGCCAGGGTCCATGTGGAAAGGGCGGTGGGAGCCCTCCTCCCACCCGCTGACTCACAGGGTAACTCATCCCCCGGACAGGAGGACCAGGAGCCAGGCCTCGCCCCCCAGCTTCCCCCCGCCCAGCGGCTTAAAGGGACAGGGCTGAGGGGAGCCCCAGGAGGTGCTCCGGGTCCTGGGGTCCAGGAGGGCTCAGGCGCCGAGGTCCCACCCCCTCCCAGCCACCTCCACCTCCAGCCTCAGTTTCCCAGGATGGGAAGTGGGCCATGCAGGCTGGTCCTGCAAGGCCTGCGTAGTGGGCTGACCGTGGTTCCTGTGGTGGTGCCTGCAGCCCTACTGTGTGCTGGGTCAGAGGGGGTCCAGAGGTACATCCTCGTCCTCCCTGCCTCTCCCTCCCCTCTCCTTCCCTCCCGTCTTTCTGAAGCGTTTCCAGAGCCTTCCATGGGTCCTGCCTGAGCTGGTTCCTCGCCGGCCGTGGGGAGCACCAGGCTTGTCTCTGTCCAGAAGGAGCTTGTTGGTGACTCCCTGGAGCAACTGCAGCCCCTCAGGGCCTGGCCCTCCCAGCCCTCTGGAAACAGGGTGCCACAGGGCCCTCCCCCTCCGGGACAGGGTGCCACAGGGCCCTCCCCCCTCCGGAAACAGGGTGCCACAGGGCCCTCCCCCTCCGGGACAGGGTGCCACAGGGCCCTCCCCCTCCGGGACAGGGTGCCACAGGGCCGGGCCTGCCTGCCCACCCTCTGGGGACAGGGTGCCACAGGGCCTGGCCTGTTCTGTTTGTCCCCAGCCCAGCCCGGCCTCTGCCAGGCCCTCCTCTCCCCTCCCCACCTGTGTGGAGACATGTGCGTGTTTGCCTGGCGGTCACTGGGAAAGCCCATGGAGGACACACCCCCGGGCTGCCTCCCGAAATCCCCGCGCACGGCTGTGCGGTGCGGCCACGCCTCCTCCTCCTGCAGGCGGAGGGCGGTCTCCGTGCCTCGCTGCGGAGGAGGCTCTGCAGGGACTGCGCGGGAAGGACGGCATTTGCCCGAGGCCACAGGCCGCCTGTTCTCAGGGCACCGGGTCAGGACCTCAGCTGCCAGGACAGCGTGTGGACTCCCTGGACCCGAGGGGCCTGGCGGGGGTGGGAGGGCGAGGTGGGGGGAGACAGACGTGCCTGAGGGGCTTCCAGCGGGCGCTGAGCCCAGGACCAGGCCACGTGACCGTGTGCCGCTGCTGGAGGAGACATCTCACCCTCCTGTGCTGGTCACGCGGGACCCAGTGCAGAGGCAGCCAGTCCACTCCCTTTGTGTGAGGCTGCTTCCCTGCCTGCACTGCTCCCCTGGCTGCGCTGTTCCCCAGCCTACGCTGCTCCCCTGGCTGCTCCCCCGCCTGCGCTGCTCCGGGCCTGGGCGGGGCACCATCCCTGATCACACTGAGCGTGGCCGGTCTCGGGCCTGCGGCCGCGCAGACACACAGGAGGCACTCAGCATTAAGCGCTGAGCACAGGACACACAAGCGCCCGCGCTGGGTGAGGCGTGTGGGAGCCCCACGCCGGCACTCCTGAAGGAGAGGGCTGCGGAGGGCTGCCTGGAGGAGGTGGGCTGGAGCGACAAGCTGGGCCCCTTGTTCTCGCGGGTGGGAGCAGAATGGTGGGCGATGGAGCAGAAACTCGGAGCAAGGGGCCCAACCAGTGACATGGGAGGGGGAGGCGACCCAGCCCCCCACTAGCCTAGCTCCGTGGGTGGAGCCTTGGGCGGGGGTAAGGCAGCCCCGGGTGCACCCGAGAGCTGCAGACCTCGCCAGGCCTCCGGTGCCCGCTGGGCTGGGCGTCCTCCAGGCCTGGGATGGGGGTCGCCTGGGGGGAGTGTCTTGCGGGAGACAGAGCCTGGGCCGCAGCGGGCTCAGGGCTGGGTCCCGTCCTGCCGGGGGTGAGGGCCTGAGCCCGGCCCGGCCTCGGGCGGTGGGGAGAGCTGGGCGGTGCCGAGAGGGCAGCGCCCCACGGGGAACAGCCCCGGAGACCTAGGCTGCGGGAGCACAGAGCTGGCCGCACCATGGCCTCTGGGCCTTAAACCCTCCAGGCAGAGGCCCCTGGCACCGTGGCCCCTGGCTGCCCACAGGCTGCCCCCGTGGGTCAGGGAGGAGCCGGCAGTGGCTGGCAATGCGCCCGCCTCCTAGCCAGGCTCCAGCCATCCGGACAGGCGGCCTTTGATTCAGGCTGACCGCGGTGGCTGGACCCGCTGTGGCCAGTGCCCGCGGCTGCTGGAGGCAGACCTCGAGGGTTGGGGTGGGCCTCGAGGATCGGGGGTGGCCATAGAGGGATGGGGGTGGGCTCTCCTCGCCACCTCGGACCCCAGGACTGGGGCCAGCTCTCCTCCGGGCTCTGCGTCCCAGATCAGACCTAATGGGCATGAGGCTCAGGGGCCTGAGGAAGGGAGCCTGGGACCCCTCACCAGCTGTGCGCCCTCCTCTCACAGCCCGGTGTCCCCACGAGAAATTGGGGCGGTCCCTGGCTGTCCCTGAGTGGCTGTGCCTGCTCCCCGCTGTGCCCACGCTGCCCTCGCTGCCTCTGCCTCCGGCCTCGGTCGCTCCCAGAGGTCACCTGGGCTGATGCCGCGCCGGGCTCTGCGGGCCGGGCCCCCCTTCGCTCACCAGCAGGTGGCAGGGCGTGTGGCATGCCCCCCAGGGAGGCGGGGTGTCCCTCAGCACAAGCCCTGTTCCCACCCGGCCCCACAGGAGGGGGAGGGGTCTTCAATCTCACCTTCAGACCAGAAGTCCAGGCCCAGAGAGGGTAAGTGATTTGCCTGAAGCCACACAGCAGAGCGCGGTGCCGCCTGGCCAAGCTGGGTGTGTGGAGCTCGGTGCCCAGTGCTCCTTCCGGCCGGGACCCCCGAGAGCAGTGCTGGGCCGCCCGCCCGGGTTCCGGAGGTCGCTGGTCCTGGCAGAGCCGGGTCTCTGCCTGAGCGGGGGCCGGGGCCGGGGCCTCCGGCGTGGGCCCCCGGGCAGCAGTCCCGCTTTGCTGACGGGTGCAGGAATCTGAGCCGGGGCGGACCAGGGCAGTGTGAGCCTCCGGGCAAGTCCAGCCGCGGTGCGGCCGGTGGACTGCGGATGGAGGCCCGAGGGGCCCGCAGGCCAGGAGGGACAGCTCTGGAGGAGGACCTCACCCAGTCTGCTCTGATGACGGACAGGGAGGGACGGTGCCCTTATGCAGGGCGTTGCTGCATATGGCAGAGCAGTGGCCCCATGGGGACCAGCCCAGGCCCAGCCTGACTGGCACCTCACGGCTGTGCAGCCCAGAGCCAGCGTCCTGACCTCTCTGAGCCTCCGGGCTGGCCCGCAGCGCCCAGGGGGGCGATGGGAGGAAGCTCAGCAGGAGCGGTTCCTGGGTGAGGAGGCCCTGCCCCTCGCCGTGGGACTCGCTGACGCCCCGTGTTCTTCCTGCCAGCGTAGGTCTCCACCAGCTGACCAGCCCGCGGTACAAGTTCAACTTCATCGCCGACGTGGTGGAGCAGATCGCGCCAGCCGTGGTCCACATCGAGCTCTTCCTGAGGTGTGCCCCCCCCCGCCCCCTCACCCCCCACGCAGCACCCCCCCATCTGAGCCCCAAGCTAAGCTCCGGGGCAGCAGCAGCCTGAGTGGCTTGGGGTCAGGCGGCCCTCACCCCGACGCCTGGCTGCCGTGTGCCCTTGGCCGAGCCCCAAGCCCTGACCCCGCACCTGCCCGCAGACACCCGCTGTTCGGCCGCAACGTGCCGCTGTCCAGCGGCTCCGGCTTCCTGGTGTCGGAGGCCGGCCTGATCGTCACCAACGCCCACGTGGCCTCCAGCACCAACGCCGTGTCCGGCCGCCAGCAGCTCAAGGTGCAGCTGCAGAGCGGCGACACCTACGAGGCCACCATCAAAGACATCGACAAGAAGTCGGACATCGCCACCATCAAGATCCACCCCAAGGTGCGCGGGCGCGGGGCGCAGGGGGGCCTACGGCTTCCAGAGGAGAGCCTCGGCAGCCGGCCTTCCCGGACAGTCAGGGGGACGAGGCCCAGGGACCAGCGGTTTGTCCCTTCACAGGTCAGATCGGACAAGAGCAAGGCTGCCTCCTGCTGGCCGGGAGCGGGGCTGCCAAGTCACCATGTCCCCGGCCCCTCCCAGGCCCAGGGCGCCTGCCCATCTGGCCGCTGCAGGAATGCAGCTGTGGTGGGCGGGATGGGGCATGGCTGCTCCGAAGCCCCAGGAGTCCAGGACCGGGGCCGGCCGGGCCCCAGGCTCCCACACGTCTCCCCATCGTGGGCCTCAGTTTGTGTGGGGGCACTTTCTGGGGATGGCGTCCGTAGCTCCTACCTGATTTTCAGAGGGACCTGTGACCCACCAGTGGGCTGGGTGGCCCCTGAGCGTCCCCTCACGCTGAGCCCCTGGGAGACCTGTGGGCTCCGTGGGTGCCCGCCCGGGCCCGCTGGAGGCCCGCCTGGCCTGGCCTGGCCGTGGTCTTCTCGCCGTTTCGGGGGGCCTGGCCATGGTCCGAGCAAGCGTGCACGGCCGAGCCCCCTCCGTGCCCCCCTCGCCCCCAGAAAAAGCTCCCGGCGCTGCAGCTGGGCCGCTCGGCAGACCTGCGCCCCGGCGAGTTCGTGGTGGCCATCGGCAGCCCGTTCGCCCTGCAGAACACCGTGACCACCGGCATCGTCAGCACAGCCCAGCGGGACGGCAAGGAGCTGGGCCTGCGCGACTCGGACATGGACTACGTGCAGACGGACGCCATCATCAACGTGAGCCCTCGGCGGCCTCCGCGGGTCCGCCACCCCCAGAGCCCACCCCCAGAGCCCACCCCCAGAGCCCACCCCCAGAGCCCGCCCCCAGAGCCCACCCCCCAGAGCCCGCCCCCAGAGCCCGCCCTCCCGAACCCACCCCCAGAGCCCACCCCCAGAACCCACCCCCAGAGCCCACCCCCCAGAGCCCGCCCACCCCCAGAGCCCACCCCCTAGAGCCCGCCCCCAGAGCCCACCCCCAGAGCCCACCCCCAGAACCCACCTCCAGAGCCCACCCCCCAGAGCCCGCCCCCAGAGCCCGCCCCCAGAGCCCGCCCACCCCCAGAGCCCACCCCCAGAGCCCACCCCCCAGAGCCCGCCCCCAGAGCCCCACCCCCAGAGCCCGCCCCCAGAGCCCACCCCCCAGAGCCCGCCCCCAGAGCCCGCCCCCAGAGCCCACCCCCAGAGCCCTCCCCCCAGAGCCCACCTGCCCCTCACGTTTACTGTCCAGGAGTACCGGGTGCAGGCCTGCCGGGGTCCGTGGCCACTGCTCCCCGCATGGGGACGGCCCTTCGGGACGGAGAGACACAGACACACCTAAGTACCTTTGCCCGCGCCCAGCGCCTGCCCCCTCGGTCCGCCGTGGTCCAGTTAGCTTCTGTCCCGCTCCCTGAGGTCCCAGGATGAGAACGCGTGTCCCATCCCAGGGCCGCCCCGTGCTGCCCAGCCCCCGGGGGGCAGGGACATGGACGCGGGCGAGTAGTGAGCCTGGAGGTTTGTGCAGAGAGCACTGCCCGGGCCAGACCCGGTCATCGGCCGGCGTCTGCTTGGCCTCAGCCTTCTTGTCTGTGAAATGGGGACATGGGAAGGCCTTCCTGCTGCTGGGGATGAACGGTGGCTCTGTCAGTGCTGTTAGTGAGCGCTGGGCAGGGGCTCAGGGCGCTGGGCAGGGCCTCGGGGCGCTGGGCAGGGGCTCGGGGCGCTGGGCAGGGGCTCGGGGCACTGGGCAGGGCCTCGGGACGCTGGGCAGGGGCTCGGAGCGCTGGGCAGGGCCTCAGGACGCTGGACATGGGCTCGGGGCGCTGGACATGGGCTCGGGGCGCTGGACATGGGCTCGGGGCGCTGGACATGGGCTCAGGGCGCTGGACATGGGCTCGGGGCACTGGGCAGGGGCTCGGGGCGCTGGGCAGGGGCTCGGGGCGCTGGGCAGGGCCTCGGGGCGCTGGACATGGGCTCGGGGCGCTGGACATGGGCTCAGGGCGCTGGCAGGGGCTCAGGGCGCTGGGCAGGGGCTCAGGGCGCTGGACATGGGCTCAGGGCGCTGGGCAGGGGCTCAGGGCGCTGGGCAGGGGCTCAGGGCGCTGGGCAGGGCCTCGGGGCGCTGGGCAGGGGCGCTGGGCAGGGGCTCAGGGCGCTGGGCAGGGGCTCAGGGCGCTGGGCAGGGCCTCGGGGCGCTGGACATGGGCTCGGGGCGCTGGGCAGGGGCTCAGGGCGCTGGACATGGGCTCGGGGCGCTGGGCAGGGACTCCGGGCGCTGGACATGGGCTCGGGGCGCTGGGCAGGGGCTCGGGGCGCTGGGCAGGGGCTCAGGGCGCTGGACATGGGCTCGGGGCGCTGGGCAGGGGCTCAGGGCGCTGGACATGGGCTCGGGGCGCTGGGCAGGGGCTCCGGGCGCTGGACATGGGCTCAGGGCGCTGGGCAGGGGATTGGGCGCTGGGCAGGGGCTCGGGGCTCTGGACATGGGCTCAGGGCGCTGGGCAGGGGCTCAGGGCGCTGGGCAGGGGCTCAGGGCGCTGGGCAGGGGCTCGGGGCACTGGACATGGGCTCGGGGCGCTGGGCAGGGGCTCAGGGCGCTGGGCAGGGGCTCAGGGCTCCGCTAACGCTGTGTCTCCCCCTGCAGTACGGGAACTCCGGGGGACCCCTGGTGAACCTGGTAAGTGTCCCCGGGGCGGGCCTCTGGGGGGGGGGGGTGTCAGAGATAGAGATGGGGGTCAGGAACGCTGCTGGGCCGGAGGCCGGGAGGACGTGACCCAGAGCCCCTGCTGCCCTGAGCCCACGCCCCTGGGATGCGGGTTCCTCGGAGGAGGAAGGGGGCCCGAGAGCAGCCATCAGGGTGCCGTCAGGGGCCGTCAGGGGCCATCAGGGTGCCATCAGGGGCCGTCAGGGTGCCGTCAGGGGCCTGGGGCAGGAGACAAGGCGGGCGTCATCCGCTGCCCTCCCTGTCCTGGGGTTTACATGCAGGATGCGGGGTGTCCTCATTCCCCATCCCTCCTCCCCGACCCCTCCCCAGGTCTGTCCTGGGCCCACAGTCAGGCTCATTCCCGCCCGAGTTCAAGATAAACCAGGACGCTCAGGCCATGGCTCCTGGGCCTTGGGATTGTCAGGTGTCTCACCCCCCCGGGGGGGCCCCCACTGTGGGGGAGGGTTCACACATGGTCACGCCCAAGTGCATGTGAGGGGCAGGGAGGGCTTCCTGGAGGAGGCAGCCCTGACCTGGCGGTGGGGACTGAGGTCAGGGTGGATGCGGACGTGCAGGAGAAAGGAATTCAGGGAGCCGCACAGCCCAGGCGGGGTGGGGTCCCAGCCTGTGGGGGTCAGGACGGGGTCAGGGTGGGAGGCCGGGTCCAGATGGAGGGAGGAGGGAGTGGGGTGCTTCTCCCTGGCCCCCCTTGCTCCCCCGTTTCCAGAGGAAAGGGTAGAGGAGGACCTGGTCCCTCATCACAGCCCTTTCGGCTCCAGCCCCTCAGGACCTGCCTGGGGGTGTCCGGGTCAGTGGACACTGCTTCTAAGGGGCGCCAGCACGCCCCAGCGAGGGGGCAGGCAGACGTGGAGGACACGGTGGGAGGGTAGACGTGACCAAGGGCACCTCAGGACAGCGTCTGGGCCAGGAACTCCTCCGGCCGGTGGACGGCCAGGGCGGCCGTGGGGCCCGGACACGGCGCTTCCCCACTGAGGGCCCCGGAGTGATCGCCCTCTGACCTCCCCACCCCCAGGACGGTGAGGTCATCGGCATCAACACGCTCAAGGTCGCAGCGGGCATCTCCTTCGCCATCCCCTCCGACCGCATCGCGCTCTTCCTGACCGAGGTCCAGGACAAGCACGCCAAAGGTAGCGAGCGCCCGGGCTGGCAAGGCCGGATGCTGTGCCAGGCTCGGCCCCACAGCCTCCTCCCCTGTGGGGCGCCCCTGCTCACTCCTCACCCGCTCCAGGCCAGCTGGAGGGCTCTGACTCACCTCCCGCCTCCAACTGCTTGGGCTCCCCAGATGCCCTGTGACTGAGCTGCTCTATAACTGTCAGAACCCGGTCCTTCTTTCCTTCCTTCCTTCCTTCCTTCCTTCCTTCCTTCCTTCCTTCCTTCCTTCTTTCCTTCCTTCCTTCCTTCCTTCCTTCCTTCCTTCCTTCCTTCCTTCCTTTCATCCACCCACCCATCCATCCACCTATCCATCCTGTCCATCTACCCATCCACCCACCCACCTATCTATTCATCCATCCATCCACCCACCCACCTGTCCGTCCATTCATCCATCCATCCATCCATCCACCTGTCCATCCATTCATCCATCCACCCACCCACCCACCCATCCATCCATCCACCCATCCACCCATCCACCTATCCACCCATCCACCCATCCACCCATTCATCTACCTATTCACCCATCCATCCACCCTTCCTACCACCTATCTGCCTGTCCCTAAGTACTTCCTCTTTCTGCCCTTGGCCATGCAGGCTGTCAGGTGGGGTAGCCTGTACTCCAGGAGAGAGGTTAGAGTCAGCTCACCAGTCCCAGCCCCAAACCCTGCCGGGGGTCTGACGGCCTCATTGACTCTGGTCGGTTTGGGGAGCTGTCATTGTGACACTGCGTCACCCACCCCGTGAACACAGACTGGTCCCCTCCCATCTGTCTTCCGTGGCTTCTCTGGCCGTGGCCTCCTGGCCATGGTCTCCCAGCCGTGGCCTCCCACTGTGGTCTCCCGCCGTGGCCTCTAGTTCTCCCTGTGCGGGCCTTACACAGCGTTCATCAGCTTGAGTCCTAGATCCTGCCCGCGTGCGAGGCTCTCCTCGCTGGTACATCCTTTCAGACTTCAGTTTCTGATGTTACCAGACCCACAAATAAAGCTGGTGTTGTGTGTGGGCCCTAAGAGACCCGGCAGCCTCGCTGACTCGCCGATGCGGGCGGATGTGGCTGAGGTGCGGGGGCGTGAGGCCAGCAGACTGGCCCGGGCTGCTCCCAGCCTCCGGACTAGCCCAGGGGAGAGGGCCCGGGGGGGACGGGGTGGGCAGGATGGCACACACCCCCCCCCCCCTCCTCAGAGGTCCTGACGGCCCCGTCCGTTGCAGACTGGAAGAAGCGCTTCATCGGCATCCGGATGCGGACCATCACCCCCAGGTGGGTGTCCGGGCGACTGCTCCCGCCGCGTCCCTCGTGGTCCCACCGCCGGGTCAGGCGCACGGCCTGCAGGTGCCCTCGGCCGCCCCGCAGGCGCCTGGCGGAGCTCAGGCCAGGCCTCTGCCTGCTGTGCCTCCTCCCCTTTCCCCACCACCCTCCTCTCCACACTGTCATCACCCACCTCCCCGGGGTGTCTCCTGAGGAGCCGTGGAGTGGGGACACGGACGGAGCCAGTGGCCGTGCGGGAGGGGGTGGCAGAGCAGGCGGTGTGGGCCCAGCGGGGTCCCATCCGGTGGGTTGTGAGGGGCGCCCCTGAGGCAGCCTCACGCGGGTCTGCCTCCGCAGTTTGGTGGAGGAGCTGAAGGCCAACAACCCGGACTTCCCGGAGGTCAGCAGAGGCATCTACGTGCAGGAGGTGGTCCCGAACTCCCCGTCTCAGAGGTGGGCTCCCGGGAAAGCGGGGGGCTGGCTGGGGGGGGGGCGGCCAGACCTCCTGGGGCCTTGCTGGAGCTTCCTCAGAAGACACGATGGCGAAGGACTGGGGGCGGGGGCGGAGGGGGCGTGGGCTCTGGCCTGGCCTGTGAGCCAGGGGCAGGTGGAGAGGGTGTGTCCCTCAGAGCGCTGGCTGTGCCCGTCCAGGGCCTGAATGCCCCCTGGCCCCGGGGGACGGAGCGCTGCCCCGAGCCTGGCCCTCATGGGCCGCAGCTGGCCCAGGTTTTCTGTCTTCCCGTCTGTCTTCCCGTGCTCCAGCCTGCCCCCCTCCCCTCAGGCCTGTCACTTCCGGTACTAGAGGAAGGGTGCTGTTGCGACACCCTGAGCTGAGGCAAGCCCCGCCTCCTGGGCGGAGGGCTCCGAGGCATGTGGGTGGGCTGCGCGGGTGGCTGGCCCCCAGCTGTCACCCGGGAGCTGGAAACAGTGTCTCCCCCCCCCCCACCAGCTCCGGGCTGCTCTGAAGCTGGGCGGTCCACATGCATCATCTCAGTTGCTTCGCACAGCAGCCGGGAGGTGCAGCAGCCTGCGCCCACCCATTTCTCAGATGGGGAGACTGAGGCTCAGGGAAGGGGCCCCTGCACGGTCACACAGCCGGCATGTGTGGGCCTGGGCACTGCAGGCCAGACACCCGACCACTGCCCTGCCTTGCCCGCCCTCTGGGTGGTGGGAAGGTCGCAGTGAGTCCAATGCAGCAGGCAGGCCAGCCGGCCAGCCCCGCCTCCCGGCCACCGTCTCAGGAACCGTGACCGTGTCCGGCCGGCTCCCGGGACCCGCCGCTCCTGCAGAGCGCGCTTCCCTGCAGGAGGGGACGGAGGCCGAGGCTCTGAGGGGCAGCGGCCCGGCGCCCTCGGGCCTCGCGGAGGAACAGACTGCGCGTCCCGGCGTGTGAGGCCGGCGGCCACCTCCTGTGCGGGGGCCAGGCCGGGGAGCACACTGGCCTCACACTCTGACCGCGCACCCGTCTCTGCCGCCGCAGAGGGGGCATCCAGGACGGCGACATCATCGTCACGGTGAACGGGCGGCCGCTGGCGGACTCGAGCGAGCTGCAGGAGGCCGTGCTGACCGAGTCGCGGCTGCTGCTGGAGGTGCGGCGCGGCAACGACGACCTGCTGTTCAGCATCGCCCCCGAGGTGGTGCTGTGAGCGCCCACACGGAGCGACGAGGGACCGCCGTCCTCAGCACAGCGGCGCCCACCGGGCGCCCGCGACAGCCACGGGCCCGGCCAGGCCCGAACCCCAGCCCGGGCTCCCCCGCTCCGGTGCCCGCGGGCGGCCGCGGCCCCTCGGACAAGTGATCCGAGGCCACCGTCCAGTCCTCGGCGTGTGGTCCGGTCGGGGCAGACGAGACGCCTTCAGCCCCAGAGGCCCACCCCCACCGCCCGCCTCTGCACCGCTCCTCCCCCCACCGCCCTCCCCACGCTAACCTCAGGGCTCAGCTCCCAAACCCCCGGCCCCCCGGCCCCCCGGCCCCCACGGCCCCCACGGCGAGTGACCAGGACCGCCTGGCGCCCTTCGGGGCGAGCCTGGCCTGGAGCGGGCACGCAGGACCGCCCTGCTGCCCCGGAGCCTGTGGCTGGCTGAGGCCCTCCCCTGGCGGGAGACGGGCTGGCGGGGAGCTGGAACCGCGGGGAGGTGGGGGGGGGGGGGGCTGCAGGACCGAGCGCTGAGCTGACCTGGACCCAGAGCAGCAGGAGGCATGGCCGTCAGCGGGGGCGCCGTCCGGTGCCTGTGAGCTCTGGGGCCCAGCCCCTGCCGCGTGCCCGTGTCTCTCTACTGTACGGAATTAAAGTTTACAAGCACAGACCTCTCCTCTCTGCACCCAGCCAGGTGCCGGGCCGCGGCCGCCGAGAGGAAGGGGCCTGGGTGTGTGTGCGGGTCCAGGCAGGGCGGGGTGGGCTGGGAGCTGGGCGTGGAGGGCCCAGCCGTGACCTTGCCGGGCTGGGCCTATGAGAGGGGTCTGTGGCCAAGAGCAAGGTGGGGCCTGGCTCCCGGTTCTGGTTCCCTGCGGGCAGGCGAGGGCGAACCCGTGGCTTCACATGGGGCAGCAGCCTCCTACGGCGCCCCAGCCTCGTCCGACCCCTCACCCTGCGGAGGCCCAGCCCCAGACCTCCGCGCGGGCTGGGCTGAGCGTGTGTGCGCACTCGGGTGGGGGTGGGGGTAAGTCAGTCCATGGCTCTGAGGGTGGGGGCGGGGGAAGCCAGCGGGTGCGGCCGGAGCTGGCGGCCTCCGGGGCGGGGTGACGCCCAGACCTGTGAGGGGGAGAGCCGCTGGACGCACCGGCTGCTCCTGCTCTCGCCGCCCTGGTCCCGGGCTGAGATGCTCGGGCGAGGGGAGAGGGACACAGGCTCTGAGCCCAGAACTGCCCCTCTCGGCCGCAGGGGACCTGGGGGGGGGGGGGCAGGCCGGATCTTGGGAGAAGGGGGTGGAGTGCTGGGGAGCCCAGCACCGCCCCTCCCCCTCACCCCCAGTGAACACCCCTGGCCTCGTGCACTTCCAGCGCCCACATGGACCCCGGCTCCCAAGGAGGGGGCCGCCTGTCCCCCGCCAGCCCGCCTGCCTGCACGGGGAGCGTGCCTCCAGCTGCTGCTCAGCTGTGCGCCTGAAAAACAACTTTCTCAGCCGCAGCTGCCCCCATTGTGCAACCGCCTGGCTTTTAACCGACTCCCCCCCGCCCCCCACTGGGCTCGCAGCCACCCTGCCTGCCTGGCCCCGGGGCTGACTGGCAGCACCCGCAGGGAGAGGCACCCCTTTGGGCCTCAGGGCCCCTCCCTAGGCGCCCGGAACCACAACGACCGCCTGGACAGAGCGTCCGGTCCCGGGTCCCGAAGCCCCCTGGGCAGAGGCGGGACCCAGTCCAGAGAGGACGGGGCACGTGTGAGCCAGTGGCCGGCCTCCAGGGCGGGCGGGCGGGCAGCTGTGGCCGCAGCTGCTCAGCACAAACATCCGCTGGGGAGGGCGTGGGGCCGGGAAGCTCAGGTCGAGGGCCCCGCCCCGCCCCGGGATGTGCGCGTCCAGAGCAGAGGGACCGGAGGTGGAGACTCTGGGTCAGAGTTCAGGGAAGCGGGGCGCCTGGCGCAGTGGGGACCGGGCGTGGGGCCACCTGCCAACAGCTGCCTCAGCTCCGTGTCCGCAGTGTCCGGCCACAGGGGCCGAGGGAGCTCAGGAGCATCCGCCACACACAGCCCCACGCTGCCCGCTCAGTCCCGGTCGCCAGGCCCTCGGGGACCCCCTGCTGCTCTCATTTTTCTCTCCCCCCGCCCCCCCCAGCCCCCATCTTTGTGCAAGCCGCTCCCCCCACCTGGACCCTCCCCCAGGCTGCCCTGACCACACCCACTGAGCACACCCTCTGTGGCTGGGCTGAAAAGGGGCCCCACAGGGTCCATGTTGTAACCCTGAGAACCTAGGGGGTCCCGCCACATGATCGAGAAGACCTCACTGCTGTGGTCAGTGAAGGTCCCCAGGTGGGCGGTTACCTGGATTCTCCGCATCACACACACACACACCCGTGCAGCCCCAAGGTCCTCGTCAGCAGGAGGCAGGAGGTCAGAGGAGATGAGATGGCGAAGGAAAGGGCCGGGTGACATGAGCCGGGACGGAGAGACTCAGAGGCGGAGAGGCTGCCGTCTCCTGAAGCTCGTTAACCACTTACATGGAGATACCCAATCCAGCCCCGGCCCGTGTGGTTCAGTGGGTAGAGCATCGGCCCGGACTCTGGGCTCGACCCTGGTCAAGGGCACGTACCTCAGGTGCAGGCGGGAGGCAACCAATCGCTGTCTCTCTCTCTCTCCCCCTCTCTCTGTTTCCCCCCTCCCTTCCACTGGCTCTAAAAGTCATGGAAAAACTGTCCTCAGGAGAGGATTAACGACAAAATAGATGCGCAATCCAACAGCACTGGCTCTGCTCAGGGCACCGGGAGCGCTCACGTTCATTCTCCCGCCTGGATGCAGGGAGAGCTGACTGCCCCCTCAGCATTTATTTCAAAGGCCATTCTCCCTCCTCTGTCTTAAACCAAGCTCCGCCCTCCGGCAGGTCTGTTCCCACCCCCTTTGTCTCCTCTCTCTCTCTCTCTCTCTCTCTCTCTCTCTCTCTCTCTCTCTCTCTCCCCCCCCCCCCCCCCCCAGTCCCACGTAGTCTTCACGTGTAGCTTGGGAGCTTTGCTGCTCAGCACAGGGACCGTCCCCGCACACGCCTCTCCTCGACTCTGCGGTCCTGTGACGTCCATCGCGCTCCACCTCCTGTGAACGGGCAGACGGCACTGATGCTGCAGCTGGGGCTCAGAGAGGGGACCGACTTAGGGTGCACAGGCCCCCAACACGTGAACGTGGGTGTCCCCCACTTTTCTCAACTGTCATTCATCGCCCAATAACACTGCCTCCTGTTTTGTGGGGATAGCGTATATATGATATTATAAGTAGCATCCTTCACATATCTTTTATTTTCTAACTACTGCTGGTATTATTTCTTCCACATTTTAAAGGATTTCTCTATCCTAGTCTTCTACCTGGCAACCTTTTAAAATTCCCTGATGAGCCGAAACCGGTTTGGCTCAGTGGATAGAGCGTCGGCTTGGGGACTGAAAGGTCCCGGATTTGATTCCGGTCAAGGGCATGTTACCTTGGTTGCAGGCACATCCCCAGTAGGGTGTGTGCAAGAGGCAGCTGATCGATGACTCTCTCATCGATGTTTCTAACTCTCTATCTCTCTCCCTTCCTCTCTGTACAAAATGAATAAAATATAAATACATATATACATACATACATACATACATACATACATAAATAAAATTCCCTGATGATCAAACAATGGGTTTACGGATTCTTCTGCGTTTTCTACATCATCAACCCCATCACCTATAAATAATGAGTTTTGTTTCTCCCTGTCCAATCCGCATCCCTTCCTTTTGCTTTTTCTTGCTGTATTGCACTGGCGAGCGCCTCTCAGCCGGTGGCCTGTAGGATGAACAGTGACAGCCATCTTCGTCTCGGTCCTGACCTCGGGAGGAAAGCTTTCAGCTTCTCACTCTTCACAAAACATTCGCTGTCGGTTCTTGTCATTACCCTTTGTGGGCTTAAGAGCGTTCCCTTTTATTCTCCGTTTGCTAAGCACTTTTATTACACGTAACTACCGAACTTTTCAAAAATATGTTTTTATTGCCTTAACCGGTTTGGCTCAATGGATAGAGCATTGGCCTGCGGACTAAAAGGTCCCAGGTTCGATTCTGGTCAAGGGCATGTACCTTGGTTGTGGGCACATCTCCAGTACGAGGTGTGCAAGAGGCAGCTGATCGATGTTTCTCTCTCATCGATGTTTCTAACTATCTCTTTTCCTTCCTCTCTGTAAAAAAAAATCAATAAAATATATTAAAAACACGTGTTTATTGGTTTGTAGAGAGAAAGAGAAACATCGGCATGAGAGAGACACGTGGACAGGTTGCCTCCTGTCCGTACCCCGGACGGAACCTGCAGCCTCGGTAAGTGTCCTGACCTGGGTTTGAACCCACCACCTTTCGGTGCACGGGCCCACGCTCCACCCAGCGGAGCCACCCCAGCCAGGGCGGAGGGTTGAATTTTTCAGAAGCCTTTTCTGCTTCTACTAAAAGGATTCAATGATTTCCTCCTTCGTTCTGTTCATGTGGTAAAACCCCTTGCATTACTGAACATGGCCTCATTTTACGCCGAGGTGTCATCCTCTTTAAATATTTTCGTTACTGTTTTGCCTGGGACGTCGGTGTGCGTAAACAAACAGGTCTGTAATTTTCCTTTTTCCTGATGTTTGCATTGGCGCTGGCTCCTGGATTATCCTGACCACATTTGTGACTCGGCAGTGTTTACGCTTTTTCTGTTCTCTGGGAGAGTTTGTGCAAGACTGGCGTTATTTCTCTCATAACAAGGAGGGAGGGCGGGGGCTGGGGGGAGGGACGTCGCTTGCCTGCGGGTCTGTCTGATGCCCGCCCCCTGCAGTTGGGCCCAGGAGGAAGCTGCCTTTTGACGAGACTGAGTGCTCCTGCTCCTGGCATTTTTACTGTATTTGGGTAGGAAGCATCGATACATTGTCCTGTGCCAGGGCTGCCGAGGCCCGACCCCCCTCCATCCGAGGGAAGTAGCCGCCTCTGCTCCCCCCCCCCCCACCCCAGCCATGGCACCCACCGTCCAGGCGTTTCTATTCTGGTATCTCAGAGTGGGCCCGCTCCTGGATGCGGTCCAAGTTGGCCATTATCTTGACAACGTGTTTGCCTTTAGAGCTTAATTGGGTCTAAAAATAGTTCTGGAAGAGGTGGCTGCTGAGGCCGGTATGCTCATGGCCAGCGGCAGGTCTGGGGGCCCGGGACGGGCCGTTGAGTTGAGGGAGCACGTGTGAGACGGGCCTGTGGGGCTCCGAGGCCCACCCTGACCACGCTCCCCTGACTCCCCAGGGCCAAATGCTCCCGCTCTGGGGAGTCTCCGAGACCTCTGGGCTGGGGGCCTCGTGCTCCTCCCGCTGTCAGATTACCTGCCTGCCGCCCCAGGGGCCTGTGAGCTGGTCTCCTGCCAGGGCTCTGGTCCCAGCCTTACAAATGCTCAGCAGTCTGGAGAAAGGAGCTGCACGTAGATGGCTAGAGAGGAGTCCGGAGATGGAAGATAATTCTGAAAGGCACTGGGGGTCAGAGGGGCTTCAGCTGAAGGAGCTAAAGACTCAACTTGTCTCAGGACCCTGTGCTTTTTATTAACACAATTTTTCCTAAGGCAAGATGGAGATAATACACTTCAAAGGGCAGGGTTCAGAAGCATTGTCAGTGTGGGGAATAGCCTACAGCTGTTCAGG